AATACATGTTAATTTGGAACAAAGCTGAGTTAAATGTATACGCAGAATATTACAAATGCGAAAATATTACTATTTCTTTTTCTCATTAGTGCTATATTTACACATCGATTGATTTAATAGATATGCGTGGATAATAGAAAGAAGTATATAAATGTTTAAATGCATCCGTAAAGATGATTGAAATTTCTGTCACACATTATTAGTCCGATTCACTTTCGTACTATGTATATATTGCAGGTTTATCTTATATTTGGTCAAACACTCAAACGCTTTTTAAAAGCGTCAGAGTAGCGTCAACATTCCGATTCGGGTCGGGCCGCCGTAAGGGTAGCGCGTCGATATTTACGAGTGTGTTTTCTTCTAAGTTACGGAACGTATTCGCGCATAAGGCCAATTACCGGGGAACCTCCGGGATAATTTCGAAGGATAGTTCCCGCCGCCGGCGGCGTAATCCGATTTAAAGAGAGACGCCGTCTTGAATCGCCGTTGACTCGGCGAGCGAGGAAGGGAACGTTACATGGTTAATTGTAACTTTACAACGCGCCGCTCTCTCACAGGGCCTTTTATCTCACGGACGCGCGGCCGAAGCCTCTTTATCCGCATGCATCGCTCGGGAAAAAGGTAGGGTTACACGTGTGACGAGGCTACCAAGATAGGTGCATCGCACTCGCCGTGTAATGATAAAAAGCTGTACACGCGGAGCAAAAAGGGCCTTCCCTTACCGGCAAAACAAACACGACGTCGGCAATAAAACGCGAGGCAACCTTTACGGCATAAATAGAGCGAAAGAGCAACTAATGGCCCCCCTCTCTCTCTCTCTCTCTCTCTCTCCCTCTCTTCTCCGTCATCCAGCGGAGTGGCTGAACTCGTAAATATCCCTGCCGTCTTGCCCGCATTTATTCGTCGATCATCGTTGCTATCATCATCATTTCAGAATCGTCTTCGGCGCTGATAAAAGTCCCGAGTGGGCGGCGAACGCGGGGGGAGAGCGGCTGGGAAGAAAAGAGCGACGCAATAGAGGCTATTTAATAGCGAATTATCGAAACTATCCGGCAGTATTATTAACGAGCCCTGCTTTCGCCGGGCGATCGATATATCGGCTTTCTTCCACCGCCGGTAATATCAACGACATCGGCGCCATAAGAGTGTCATTATTCCTCTGGAGATGCTCACGTCCGGTCGTCGTTGGGAATCACGGCCCGAAATCCGGGTTCCCTCTCTCACGGAGGACGGGGAACTGTCGTCCCGCTCGTCTCCTTCGGAGGACTCGCGACTACCGAGACGAAAAATGTCGCGGCTTCCTTCTTTTTACCCTCGGCGACGACGATCCCAATTCAAAGCGTCGACGAGCGGAGACACGTGAGAGACTCTTTCCCGAAATTCTTCGGGAGAAAGGAAATTCTCAGATACAGCTCACGTCGATTACGACGGCGGTTACGTCGCTCGGGGTAATTTCCCATCTGACGACGCGTATACGGAAAGAATGTCTCTCCCGGTGAAGAAGTTATCATTCCCTTCGCGAGGAGATATAAAGTATTTATGATACGTAGAGAGCGAATACGGCATAAGTGCTATCTCGAGGGTGCTCTCTCCACCCCTCTCGTTTCCATCACTCACTTTCCTACCCGCCACATCTACCGGTTCTTGATGCACCGTCCCATTTCGCGCCGTATCTCACCCAATCCACGTCGGCCGTGCGCGATTAACCCTCTATCGTGCCTTCTTGTATACTTTATAACTGCGCGCGCTTGAAAAATGATCGTACCCTAAATACCGAACACGGATAGGACCGACCGGGGTGAATGCAATGCGACTACACGGTCTGCCGAATAGTTCACGCCGGTGTATGTATATTGACATTGAGAGAGAAACATTCGGCATTCGTAACTAACACTGGCTTAGAGAAAAATATTCTTTTTTATTGCTTTAAATCGGACGATCAGAAGGTGTTTCTTCGAGACGTTTCGAAAACGATGCCGCGAGCCGAATTTCACCAGCACGTCAGGTTTTCGAGATAATTGAGGTTTCAAGTGCAAAAAATGGCTTTCTTGAGTTATTTGAGGTATTTTTGTGAGAAGGATTAATGTTGTCTTGAAATCTGGAACAGAAGTCATGGAATGTATTATTCATAATTTGGAGTATCTTCATATTAGAAATAGCTCCTTTAATTCTTCACATAACATAGTTAAAAAATAAGATTTAGAAATAACAAAAAATGCATTTTATAGGGGATGAACGAAGTAATTTTTTCTGTAAACTAGTGTGATCATCATAGCGGAAGAATTATAGTCAGGCGAACCACTCTTCCAGTAAGTATGGTAGTGTCAATGGCAATATCTTTAATATTATTCTAAATTATAGACTTTCCGCCAGTAGTATTTTCAAAACGAAACGGTAAATAATTCTGAAATTTGTAGTTTACGATGTAATCCAGTAAGCATCAACTATTAGTAATGTAACATCAATGTTATAATTCAATATTAATTTCAATGTTATAATTTTCCACTCAGCAATGTAACTTTAATATAACACGCGTTATATTACATTTTATAACATTGGAGTAAGAAATCATAACATTGATATCATGTTACTTAATTAATTAATTATGTTAATTCGTGTTTATTAGGAAGTTAGATTATCTTTGTTTTGTAACTTTAGTATATCATGAATAATATAAGTAAAACCTATATTGAATAATAATTTCAATATTGAGTAATAATATAAACCCCTTTTTCTCGATGTGTCAGCTTATGACGAAAACCTTGCAAATTATGAGAAGAGTATTCTTGCTGAGACTAATTATAGAGATTTAATTCTTGACAGGGTTAACATTTCTACTTTACTCATATCGCTTGCCAAAAGTAGCTGCTGGAAGCCCGTAGAGTCTTAGATATAAATAGAGAAGCGGAGAAAGCCGGTTTTGGTCATAGCTGAGTCTGAGTCATGATTCAGATGGCATTTTCTTGCCCGCCATGTCTAAGAATATATATGATATACCGGTAAGTTACGACATTTTTATTATTGAAGCTAATCTTTTGCAAGCTAACCTCTCTTCCTTACTCACTTGCTCCAAGTATCACCATGCAAATAATACGACGATTCTCGATAGTTGAGCCCAATGACACTCCTCCTCTATTCGAATCTAGGACTCGAGTTCGTAAAATCGGAATGCGGGACCTCGAGGTGCAATAATGGCGTCGCATCCGGATTTCGACGATCGTCCCGGGCCCGCTCCTTCGTCAATCACTTTTCATCGGTTCCCGATACATTCCTGACATTTCACGTGCCGTGTCGTTTTCCGGTACAACTTTATCCAATTAGTTAAATCGACGCCGCTATGCGCTCGGCAACAATGTAGCGAGGAATTGTTATAGCCTGTCATGGAAAACATTAGCCGTATCCACTTTAGCAGTGTCACGTGAAATATTCCTCCGGCTTCCACAGTGTTCCAGTTTCCGCTTTCAACTCCGTTATTCGCGAGTCACGCGTCCTTCCGTTTCGCACGCGCAATTCGCAGGGTGTCCCATTTAATTGTTACACGTCGAATAATTCTGCCATTTTTACAGATACGAAAAAATGGCCGGGAAAAGAGTCATTTGATTCGAAAGTACGGTTCGAACGCTACGGGGGAAATAAAAAGGACATTTTTACCAGAGAGGCCATTTTCACAAGATGATTTCTCACTCCGTTCTCCCCATCCTCGTTAACCGTGTACTTCAGCATGAAACGTCGAAGCGAACACTGCCAGCTCGCGTTTAAACTTCACGCTATTGACCCAACGGAAGCAATCCCCTAATGATATACGCGAGACTTCGCCATCGAGTTACACGCGGCATTTCTAAGTCGCCATGAGGAACAAAGTAACGAGGGAGGGACAATTAATTTTCCATCAGTCATCTGGTATCTTGGGAGTTGATTCATCGTGCCGACGTGAAAACAATCGCTGACAAAAGCATTGTACCGAAGTACAAGCAACCCCATCTTCGGACACCACATGAATGCCATTTACAACTTGCGACAGCGACTGGAGGCGAGCTGTTGAAGAGTTCTTGTTAGCTAATGACAGCTAGTCGTGGCCTATCATAGCTAATTATAGTTAATTGTAGTTAATCATTGCTATCATCGTGCGCTAACAATAAGAGCGTGCCGAATTATACGGCCGATATACACCAAAGGCGACTTTCACCGAGCTCGGATTAAGCTAATCTGAGGTTGGTGAAAGTTTAATTTCGACGTTTAATTTATTTTCCACCCTCATTATCTCTTCCCGAACGCGAGATATCGAGCCGATCCGGTCACAACTCGCCGCAAAGTCTGCACCGTCGACCCAGCGACCCAGGGGAAAATTTGCCCAAGGACGTTGCTTGTGTTTACGACACAAAAAGGCACAACCTCGCGAAAATGTGAATATTCCTAAGGGATTATTTGGAATAAATATATAAATTTGTAACAAAACATTGTGCTTTCTTCCGCCTTTCCTTTCGAATCTCCAAATTCCGCCGAAACGTCAACACCAACGAAGAAGTGACGATAAACGTATTATAAGGAAGAAAAGTCCGCACTTTATCCGCTCATTGATTCCATTATTAATCCATATTAATTACCTTACACTTGTTCATCGCACTTACTCTGTCCACGGTTGAGCGAGTTACACAATTAATGCGTTGCTAATTAAAATAGAAAAAAAAGGTTAAATAACGCAAATAAAATAAGAAGATAACGGAATGTGAAATAATTCCGAAACAGGTAAGTTTCTGAAATAACTCCGAACCGCGTGGCGCATTATAGTCTCCGGGCTCTCTTGGTTGGCCCTTCCAGTACGATGGAATTTGCAGAATTAATTTCCCGCGGAAGAGCAACATTTCGAGCAGGAAGACGACGTTAAAAGCGATGATGGAACGGCACGCGACAGGCGGATCGCTGTGAGGTCAAGGGGCGCGCGTTCGCGCCCCCGAAAATCAGGTTGTCGTTTACATGCGTCGCGCTACTTCATGTTGTACCTCGGCCAATCCGCAGCGGGCTCATCCCCCGTGCCGAAAGTTCCGGCATAGTCCGCAGGATCTCCGGACTGGTCGGGGCGCGGGGGCGCGTTATATTTCCCGAGGGCCATGTCGATGAGGGAGAAGCTGCACCCGGGAAACACGACGGCGCAGTTCTTGCCCTCGTGGCCGGCTTTATGGGCCTGGGTGTACGTGTGATGCTCCTCCGGCTCGAACGAGAACACTCTCTTCAGGGGCAGCCTGTAACGAGAGGCGCTGAATGAGCCGCTTTCGGGGCTGACTACACCTCCGAGGATCTGCCTACGTGGACGACGATCGGGAATCGTAGAGTTCCTTGAACACAGAGATCTCCACGATCATGACAGATTTTTCATTGGCTCCGAACTACTCCCGAGCAAAATGGCGGAACCAATCGATGCTCGTGTCATATCCCCCACTTCGGGTATCATTACGCGCGGAAAGAACCGGCCAACTAACCAGTTGTATTTTCTGCAAAGTGATAAAGTGTGAAATATTGCTCCCTTGATTGTCAGTGATGAAAATTCTCGTTATTTCGGACCCCGCTGAAAAATTGAATTTTCTCGTCAGGAAATATTTGGTTACATTAGAGCCCTTTTAAGCGATTTTATCACTGAAGCGAAATGTGTAATTAGGGGTTTTCGGGCGTGATGATTGTTGAGTTCGATTTGCAAAATGTTGCCTCAGAAAGAAGATATGACTGTTAGAAAAATGAATTTTTCGAATTTTTCAGTATTTTTCCTATATTTCGTTATATTAAAGTTTTTAAATTAATTAAATATATGATATTTAATTAATTTAAAAAACTTCTACATTTATCGCAAACATTAAATTTCAATAAAAATTTACTATATTAGCCGTCATTTTGGATTTATGACAAAATATTTTTGAAATTTTTAAAATTCTTTAGTTCTTTTTCATTTAGTATTTATTGAATAACTTCGAACCATAAAATACTTTTAATTGTTTACATGAGATAAAATGTAAGAAACAAATGTCAAATGAAAAAATATCTAAGTAAATTAACACAATATGCGCATTTACTACGATTATTATACGTTACAGCTTTACTTTATAATAACTAGAGTAAGTAAAGTAGAAGTAAATGGAAACTACCGACGCCATTTTGCTTCAGAACTAAAGATTGTCCAGATCCCCGTATTCAAGAGACTCTAGGGAATCCGCCTTCGAATCTCCCCTCATCGTCCTCTCTTCGCTCTCTCTCTCTCTCTCTCTCTCTCTCTCTCTCTCTTTACATCGTCCGCCGAGATATTATATCCGAAATATCTGGCCAAAAGCAGAGGGTCAGCCATTCTCAGGCGGGCTACCCTTCGCGGAAGATCTCTCTAACGTTTTGCAAATTGCGCATTCTTGCTCGGGGATGATCAGCAGGTCGCCCGTAATGCTTGCTCGGAGGGGATAATCGACGGGGGAGGGGGAGAGGTCCCCTTCTCAAAATCGTTGGGTCGAACGAGGCTATTTTGGGCTGTGCGTGAGTCTGGTCACGTTTTTAATTCGTCGTTGTCCCCGCCGTGGTCGTTTATGTTCGCGGAAGGGGATCGTCTGACGTTTTATTTATCCTTCGTGCCTCTCCTTCTTCCTCCCGGCGGCGAGGAGGAAGACGCGTTCGTCATTCGTGCTTCAATTTAGAAGCGGCACTAGAGAGTGTGAATTAACGGGTAATATTCCGGGGCGAGTGTTCCGGCTGTACTTTGCGTTAAACGAGATCGTCCGAGAGATAGGGAATTTAATTAAAACTACATTCACGGCGTTTGAGTTGTCTCACTGCGCTACACATTCTTACGGATGAGGCACAAGTGTCGGGCACGAGGCGTCGTCCGTTTCGTCGCGCGAATTTATCCCTTCGAAAAATTACCCCGTCCGTTCGCACACGCGGGTGATAGTGCGAGAAGTTCCACACGACGGGCGGTTTTGGAATAAACGGGTCGAGTGGTGATAACAAATTCTTTGACCAATTTCGTGATTTTTTCGACAAAACCATCGAACACAGGTAATTTTTACGCGAACTATTGAAAACTGAAGGGCTTATCGCGAGCCAAGCTTCGGAAAAAGGAAGAAGGTAGGGGAGGGGATGGGCAGCAAACCAAAATGTATTGTTTAATTAATCTCGAGTGGGCAGAATTTTAATTTGCAGCTGAATACCGTCGATGCACAGGTGCGCATCATTGAAATCTGAAAAGTCTCCGTGGCGAACGACAATTTCTCCGTTAATCGAGTTTTCACCGAGGGCAGGCCGATTTTCACACCAGCCGGGAAATCTGTCGTTAAAACACGAGCCATTTATTCCACGGCCCTCCCAGTGAGGGCCGCAAATTTGCCGCGAAGGAAGCTATCGTTACTCATTCTCCGTTATTTAACTCGCATCCTCTTTAGCCCAGTTATCTGCATCTTCCGCCGCATTTGTTATTTTCTCTCACCCGCTGCGCTCTTTTGAGCCGCGCCGTTTCGAATTGTGCAATTGCGCGGCGCTAAGCGCTCGCGAATTCTTCTGGAATAAAAAAAGCCAAGAGGAGAAAGATAACGGGGAGATTTTTCCGAACGCGACGGGGCAACAATCGACGACCCTTCGAAGCATCTTTGTGCCGACGAGTTTCCGTTTCCGTAAAGAGGAAAAGGAGAAGAAATGAAGAGAAAAAAGGGGGAAACTTACGAAAACGATATCCTCATCATCTCCTCCACCAAAGTGTTTCCTTTCGGCATTAATCGCTGGGACGCCTCACAGAGCGCTCGTAAAATACATGTCCTACCGTTGAAGCCCATCCTGGAAAGAGAAGAAGAAGAAAATAAGAAATTATAGTACAAATATATTCTGTCGTTTTATTTTCATACTTTATACTATTAATTTACAAAAATTAAAATTAAAATATATATTTTTCAAACTATATGTAAATAATATTTTATTTTACTTTATTGCCATCTTTTATTTCAGCACATAAACATAAAGAGAACATAAATAGAAACAAATTTAAATTAAAGAAGGATACGGTTTATGATACGATATTTGTTGACCAGTGCTTTCATCGCAATGTATACATCGTAGAGTGGCTGCATCAACATTCCCGACTGTTTTGGACAGAGAGTAAGAGAGAGAGAGAGAGAGAGAGAGAGAGAGAGAAGGAAAGAGAAAGACAGGGAGAGATAAGTCACGAGACTAATGTCGAGCGGAGAAATAAGATAAACGAGTGATTCGTTATACGCGGTTACGGCGAATCGGCGGGCCCGAACGCATCTTACGATCGGCAATTCGAGTAAATGCCGACGATTTATTTCGGAGGGTCCCTTTCGCGATGGGAGGCCGGAGTTTAACAGAGCAGATATCCGAGAGATGAGATAGAATTAATGCCGCCGGTCTAACGCGGACGCTCCCGATATACCGCTTTATCCCTCTTCTCGTTCTTTCGCGCTACGGTAAACGCCATCCATCAGCGCGTATTTTCGATTTGTGCGTATCGCAATCGAGGCGCGCGCAATTCATACAAATTTTCCTAAACGCAACGATTCAGCTTTCGCGCGTGATTTGTACACCGGAGTCGCGCGTCTGCGAGACGGGCCGACGTCGTTCTAAGATTCGTCACTCGAGTAAAAGTTCTGTACCCGTCGTAAGGATACTTTGGACAAGACAGGGCCGCGGAGTAAGACGGAAAAACGCTGCATAAAAATAACTACGCTATTAGTTGCGAGAGGGACCAATATTTGTATATAATATTTCGAAATATTGTACCAATATTTATTTATGTATTATGTCTTCCTTGTTCCTGTTATTTCTTCCTTTCTACCAAAAAATATTGGAATATTCGTTTCATTGGATCAAACAAATATCACTTGAAGTACTTGGTAGTACATTTCTTCCGTACACGTAACGTAATGCTAATGGTAATATAATGGAGAGATTACGTTTTTCAAAGTATTATTCACTCAACACCGTCTACTCTATTATTATATTATATTATTACTCCGTTATATTATTATATACTTTATTATTATATTATATTTGATCCACAATGAATAGACAGCGGCTCGATCACAAAACTGATTTCACCATTCAGTAAATAATCAGCCAATAACGAGCTACGAAACTTAATCTAGCCTATATTACCCAGTAACTACTAAATATCAGTGACATCGTTATTTAATGCCCGACACAATAATGTATATGTTACACAATATACACGTTATGTAACATGCATATATTACAATAATATACGTAACATGTATAATATTGTGTCGGACATCAAACGTCGATACGTTACTGATATTTGATGTTTACTGGCCGGCTAATAGATTTTGAATAAAATCTAGGCTAATTAAGTTTTAACTCGGCAGTGCCACGATTCCGACGCGCGTCGGTGTGTTGCGTTTTGTCCCGAATAAGAGTGCTCAGCGGCTGTCGCCCAGAAGACGACAGCCGCGTATTTTATTTCGGAGGTGCGAAGGGACGCCACCGACGAGAATAGTCGAACTTCCTTGCGTGGAAAGTAGAAATCTGGTTATGATCCCGACTATACGTGGAAAAGAAAGAGAGAGAGAAAAGGGGAAGGAGGAGAGGAGGAGCATTTTCCTATGGCCGAGAAACGGATAAATGGCCCGCCCGGCTCGTTCAGAAACAACCCCGTTGCCTCTACCATCGGCCACTCTGCGGCCGTGGGAGCGCCATCGTCTGATTCATGCCACCCTTAAGCCGCACCAATGATACCACCAACACCGGCCGATCCCTTATAAACCACCGGGTGACGTTGCTCCCGCGTATATACATGTTCGTGTACACACACACAGAAAGCCCATCCCTTGCATAAGCGGAGCATCCCGGCGGCGCTATAAGACGCCGGGCATAAACCGCCACTTTAGCATCTTCTCGGCGAAGGGGTGAATGATTTCATGCGGATATTAGCCGCAATACTCCAACACGCCGGCCTCGTTATCCCGGCGGTAGGGTGGGGAGTAAACGACACGGTTAAACGTTAAACGTCGTTCGATAAATGTTTCTCGAGGCGTCTCACACGGGGAACGTGAGATGATAAAAATGCGTCGCGCGGGATGCCGACAGATCGACTGTACTTACGACGAAGAAGGACCAAAAGGGAAACGAACACCTCGACCCGCACTGAGAGAAAAATATTTCCTCTTTGTAACTATAATCGTAGTAAAAGAATTATAGGATTTCAAACGGATCTTGATAATTGGGAGGACGTGTGAGAAACGATTGTAAAATTACGGGATCGGGCTTTTAACCGCTAAATCAAAGTTTAAACTGAACCGAATGTAGATAAGATAATAGTTCTAAGTGCACCTTTAAATGTTGTACATCATAGCGAGGATGAATTCAGATCCCTTAAAGCGTACAGAGATTTTGAGAACGATGGTATGTCATATCGTAATAATTATATAGCTCTCTGTAATAATAACTTCTTCTGATAACTGAGATGAAACTGTGATCATTAATTTGCCGTCGTATGCATTATTTTCAAGTTCTTATATGTAATTATAATATCGTTTTACTAACATGATTGTCAACGGTGTAAAAAACAATGTACAAATTCTTAGGCAATGTATATATTTACACACACACACACACACACACACACACACACACGCGCGCGCGTAATGTTTCGATGATTGAATTATACATGTTTTTAATCAAGAACGTGTTTAATTGGTTACATTTTTGACGATGATGGTATCTATTTATTTAAGAAAAATGCCATACCAGATGTCTCACATAACGTGTATACTGAAAGAAGGATTTGCTGCGACAAAGAAATTTATATAACAATATATAATTTATATTTATATAGCATAATTCAAAATTCAATAGCTACTTAACGTTTAGTTTGGGACAGTTTGACCCGCGAGTCCCTAAACTAAGGTTAAGGTCTGTTCCTTTCCACTGATCCGCAGTGCGGGCACCGACGAGAGATGTAAGCCTGGCCGACGCGATAACAACGCGTCCGTACCGTTTTACCATCCCTGTGGAAGGGGGTGGAAGACTACTCCGGCGTCATTATCGAGATATATCGGCTTTTCTCGTTAATGTAGCCGATACGTCGTACGGCATATATACGCCACGATAGATGACACGGAAAAGACTCGGACGAGTCCCCATAAAGAGGCAAGACTGCCGTTCGATCGCGCCACAGCCACTAAAGCCCGCCGTTCTATTTTATTATCGAGCGTGTCTCCTCCTGTCTTCTCTAAGTCGCGCGAAAATTCGTCGCTTCCCCCCTGTCCCTTCAAGACGTTGAAATCCAGGTTAATATATCCGGCGACCGTGTGACGTTGATCCCGGGAAAATTGTTGTCTTAACCGCCCATGAGTGTTATTAATTGTTGTTGTCAGAAGCAGGATTAATTAGACCGTAATTTAAACCGCATCAATCATCAAATTGCCGGATTATTGTCGTAGTTTCTTCAGCGGCCGACCGCACTCTCTTATCTCTCCCTTCCCTTCCGCCCCCTCTCTCCCTCTCTTACACGTGTTAGTGAATATTGCGTTAGTGAATGTTGTATATTGGGTCCGGGATTGGGCGGGTTAATTCTTTTTTGGCTAAATTAAGTTAAAAGTTAATCGCTATAAATTAATTAAGTATATATTAAAAGTTACGTAAATAAAATACTGACTTAATTAAAAGTTGAAATAAAGATTTAGCTTTATTAAAGTAAACAGGTAAAATGTTGGAGATAAGGTTAAAAATTAATTATACGAATATATGAAATATTTTAACTTAACTAAAAAAAGTAAGTTAAAGTTAAGTGCATAAGTAACTAAGTTTAAATTAAAAGTTAACTCATTTAAACGTAACTAAGGTAAGATAAAAATTATTAACCTTTAACTTAAACTTAGTTACTTTTCATGCATTAATTTTAAATTATTTATCTTTCTTTAGTTAAGATATTTCATATATAGCTTAAGTTATTAACTTTTTAATTTTTTAAGTGAATTACTACTCAATCATCGTCGATTTCTACGACAGAGGTTCACAATCAGCTTAGCTTGATTATCAGGATTTTACTTAAATTTTACGTTACATTTTATTTCAATTAAATACAATTCTTCCGATGGAAATAAATTATTCGTCAATGAAGAAAATCGCTTCCCGCAATATTTCTGATAAGAATGACGATTATTTGATTGATCAACTATTTATTTTCACCGAAAGCGCTGAAGTAAAATTCGTAAAGTAACGTAAAATTTCAAGTAAAATTTAACGTTAGATTTAAAGCGAAATTTAAGTAAAATCTCAAGAGAATCAAGCCAAACTTGTCGTATTCTATTATAGAAAATCGAGAATAACGAATTGGTAGAGAAGTTGGTGAAGCCCAAATTGAACGTAAAATTTCAAGTAAAATCGAAATGAAATCAAATATCGGACCTTCCGATCCTGCCAGCATTACATAACGGAATAAAAGTAAATGGAGCCACGACACACTCACGCGTTCATGATGACCTCCAGTTTGTTGTAGAGCTCCCGCCGGTGTCTCCTCTGCAGATAATAATACTCGGACTTGCGATACTTCTTCCTGCCGGGCACGAAGCGATACTTGTCGTTCCATCCTGAATACTTCACGGCACCGTAGCGGTCGTGCTTGCTGCCGGTTGGAATTTTGTCGTTTCTCAGTTCAAGAAAGGGTTCCAGGGCGGGCTTGCTTTCGTTGGGCAGGTCGTAGGAAATGCCCCAGTTGAGGCCCTCAGTGAAAATGTCATCATCTGGCGTGAGGGTGTGCACGGTCATGCAGAGCGCGATCTGTTGTGCAAGTCCCCCCCCCGATGGGTTTAATAAATAATAATAAAAGGCAATAATTTCGTCGTGTATGCATTCCCGATCCGGGATTATCTGGCAACAAGCGCATTCAGTCGGTGAGCAATTAATTATCGAGTTAATTATTGCACAGTGGCGCAGTAGAGCGACGCCCATCCATTGCTCTCTCCCCTTCCCCTCGCTCTTTTGGCACAACTGAACAACGTTAAATTACGTTTATTATATCTGCATTTAAATTAATAATTATCGCGCGATAAAAGTCCGCCGCTGACAGGGCTGATGCGCGCGAACGCGTCGAGAGATAATGACGCGTCCTTCGAGAGCGATCGAAGGGCGGTTTCAGGATGACGGACGCGGGAATAGATCGCGACACGTCGCGCGATACTCACGGAAAACGTGGAGCCCTCTGGAAAAACGACGTAACGGCGTTTCCTGGAGAGCGTGCTCGTCGCTCGGTACTCATCGTTCGCCTCGTACTCCGACAGTATCAGGCAAAGCGCGAAAAACACGAAATACCTGGCGCGGTAATCCATTATTACCCTGCAAAAAGCACACCGTTCTATGGTTGATCGGCGGCTCCAAGTGTGGCGGGTGCGTTTTTATTAAAGAGCGAGCGAGCGAACGTCGCACGGTAACGTTCAACAATGCCTTCTTCCGGGAGGAAGAAGCGACAAGCGCCGATAATGTATCGCCTCGGAAACTGAAATCGCAATTAAGCGGCGCTCGTCGTTCCATCGAACATCTAGGCGCGCCGACATTAGTGCTGCCAGTGTGACCCGGATGTTTCTTTAAGGGAACCCGGGGCATAATGGGAGTACGATCGGTACTTTTTCAACCTATCGAGCATCCCTCTCCTCAGCTTCCCGCCACTTCCCGCCATTACGAGGGCAAATCGCGCGGGAGGATTCTTCTGGCGGCTGCCAACCGGTGCGCATCGACACTCTGCGACCTCACAAACGGCCAAACGATATCTCGTTAATCCAGGTCGGAAAATCCCTGGCAACGGGATTCCTAAATTCATCGCGTCAACGAGGCGCCCCGGAGCGGAAGCAAATTATTTCATTGTCATCGCGGGGCCGCCGGAGAGACAGAAAGGGAAAAGCGGAAATCGCGCGGCGGGATGAGCGAAGGGCGGTATAGGGAGGAGGGGGAGAAAAAAGGGGTGAGGGAGGGAGGGAGCAACGTGGCGGGTAAAACTTCTTCTCCCGGTGCAAACTTGTAAAGGAATTACCCAACTTCGCGGAGAGCAAATCTCGGTATAATCCGTTGAGAAATTGTTCGACGACTTTTCTGAAATAAAAGCAGCCCATGAGCGACGCCGGGTAATGCCGCCTTTTTGCGATCGCGAGCAGCGAACTGCCGTAAACCACCGGGGCTCGTGATTCGGGCCGGTGACTCCGGCGCGCGAGGGGTTAGCGATAGGTGGGAGGATTAGACAGGAAGTTGGAATTGTACGAGGAAATAATCTCGGGATAAATAATCCGGTCGGCCACGCTCCAATGGCTGGATTTATCGCGAATTCGCGGATATTTAAGGGCCGGCACGGGGCTTTAACTGATACGTCGGGAACCGACCGACCGACCGCCTGGCGCGGAATTCAACGCGAAATCCATTACGTCGTTTATGTAGTCGGGACAACGTCTCCTCCTTCGTTATCCCGGTGCGATGTAAAATCGCCCGTAACAGGATCCACGTCCTTATAAAAGCGCCGAGAACGAATAAACTTACGTAAGAAACGAAAAAGTTGCGACGGAATATTCATCGGGACGAAGTTTACTTGAAATTCTTGGGAGAATACGTGGGTACGAAAAATGGAGAGAGAAATGGGGAATGAGGGAGGGTGAGAGAGAAAGTGGGAGGGTGTTGAAAAATGTTCGTTCTTACATTAATTTTGCAAATACCGTCGAACTTGAAGGATCGCTGGCGCGTCCCGGGGTAAAAGATTCTCGGTTGAGATGATATTTTTCACGGCGTCATAATTAATTTGAAGTTAACAGTGAAATAAGACGGGTATATAACGATGTTAAATAATTACGAAAATATTCAATCTAGAACGAGATTCCTCTCACACGTAGCAGAGAAACGTTTAACGGCCGTTTGAAGTCCGGTTAAGTTTCAGTACGCGGAGCGCTCAGACGTAAAATATTTATTATCCTCCCGTTTGAATATTAAATATCGCGCTTAACATCCTGCTCTGTAACTTGCCCCTCTCGTTTGTTAAATGACCGAATATCAAGAAAGTTTACCTAACGGCTACTCTACATCCATCGCAATGTCGATTGCGACGCTCATTGCGACGATGATCGCTAACATGGCGCGAACTTGTGTCTGGAATTGTGACAACCAATCAGAAGCGTCAGTGATACAAAGACTATACGCTGATTGATTGTTTCAACGTCAGACAAGCTCATCGTCGGGCGACGAGCGTCACAACCGACGTTGCGATATAGAACAGTCTTCACCCTAGTTTGACGCTCACGGGTCAAATTGACCCGAGGGAAAAATTAGAATCCCCTAGTTGCTAAATCTGGAATCAACGCACATATAAATATATAGAATTCCATGCCCAAGACATGCGAAATTCTCCACTTCTCTCCGTGCGAAATTAATGCATTATCTTTCCTTATACTCGAAATTATCTCTCTATCTGAAAAATAATAATTGCAGTTTCTCAACACCGCATAGCGTCAACACCTGCTTTTCCGCGTCGGCGAAGCGCGTCTCATCGGCAATTTCCAACGTCGAAAACACGAAGATGCGTGTCGCTCGAGATTTTCCGCAGGCACTGTCAGAATGCCGCGGCATGTTTAATGCAAAGCCAAAATTCTCGGCTATTCCCGAACGCTTCGTATATCGCGCGGGATTAATTTCTTATTCCGCGCGTGGTAGGGCGCCCAGCGATTGCCATTCTTCTTCAACGCTAACCCGGAAAACTTGAGAATTGCCAGCATTAGTTTCTCCCCCGGCGGGGGAATACGTGCGCGCGCGCGCGCGTGCGCCGGAAGACGTGGCAGTCACGGTGTGTGTGTGTGTACACGGAGAGGAATTGTACATTCTCACGTGATTATACATCGATCACCGTCCTTGCGTTTCCGGCCACGAATCCCATAGATCTTGGGCGGGGGTTACCCGCCGCTCTTCCTCCGCCGCGTTTGAGGGAATTTCGCCCGCCCGCGTCACGACAGGCAGGATATTGTCGCATTCCTCTTGAGGTCTCGCCCTGCGACTTTGCTCGTACGTACGTTCCATCCGAAGCCCAGCTTCCGGCTTCTGCTTTCGAAACGCCGTCAAATTAGATCGAGGGATTCGTGGGAGACGCGAGGGACGGCTTTCCCCCCCTCTCTTTATCTATCTATCTATCTGTTTACCTACCTCTTTCTCTCGGCTCGCGATACAGATGAGGAATTTTCGCGGCTGGAACTTCCGCCGCGTTCTCTCGTTAGTTTCATCAACGAGTATCGCAATTTCCCGTTCCGGATGCCGCCGGTAGCTGGATTCTATTACGGCCGGGGATATAATCAACGGCAAACGCTCGACGTCGAAACCCCCTTCAGCAGCCAATTAAACGCTGTGACGAAATTATTAACGGTGCTCGGCTCCGCGACGACGTTACACGGAGTGCAGTGAGATTTGTTTACGTCGACGAATGAATTCGCGAAAATGCGTGTCGTCCGTAATTCTGTCACTTTCAAGCCGTCGTCACGAAACGGGACGCACTCGACTTTCGCTCGATAATCGCCGAAGTAACGCGAGAAGCCGCACAGTGAGAAGTAACGCAATTTGTATATATATATTTATAAGTACACGTTTAATATGCGTAGTAGCACTGAAGGGCGCGTCTTATCCCCGCGGTGCGGCGCCTTTGTCGGCGAACATTAATCGGAGGCCGCTAGACTAAAGAACCCGGCGGTGTCAGCTCGGTTCAAAGCTACGCGCGCCGACTGCACGATAGCGGCGAACGCGTACTCGGTCGTTCGTTCGCTGCCTGTCACGATCATTTACAAGTTTCCGAATTATTTCCCTCCAGTAACAACTGCCATCGGTTAACTTTCGACGTAATATTTGCGTTACGTATTCGCGCCGTATTGTAAACCAACAACGGAAACTTTGAGTGGGATCCTGTGGGACGTGTGAAACGTGTTGGATTTAATTTAACAGAAAATATTTTACTGTGCGTAGTATCACTTAAATATAACTTCGCAAGATTGTCAGCCACTGTGCATACGTGAAGGTTCTTACGAAGAAACGATCCTCTCGTATTCCTTCCTGCGTCCACGGTAAAACGATTCCCTGAGGCCGCGCTTTCGCGAAGGCGCTGCGAGTAGAAACAGGCGCGACGCGGCCGGACGGTGAGCGAGGCTGACACTGCGCGTCTGTGACTACTGATATCGCGACACGTTCCTCCGTATCCACGCATGAGACAGATCGTTCTCGTGCTGATTTATCCGAGATGAATAGTCCCGACGAAAGTGACAGTGATCCGTTTAAAACCGTGGTGCGCGTGTGCGGAAAGTTTGATCGCAATGAAATACAATTGCACGAACATACGGGCGATGCTGCGGCGGGCGGGGCGCTGCGGGTATGAGTAATTGCGGCTACGCGGGGTGTGTAGCGTTGCGCGAATATTAATATTAATAACTCGAATAAATCCTCCGGAAACTTCTCTGCCATTTGTATAAATCCACCGGCGATCACGATTCGCCGCGCGTAACGCTGACCGGCGAAGAATACCTCGAAGGGGCGCGGCTCTGCGGAATTGACTTCCCGCCGATACGATAACTCGCGTCCGATGAAAGCCGATAATCGATCAAGCCCGAGCCAGTTAGCCAGTTGCATCAAATCTCACCGATCCCCTTCATCGCATATCCGGCGAAACAAGTTTTGATTAGATGTAACAGTCGCGCCCGATCTCGCGTTCGCTAACTCGGGATTCGATAAAATCTGTTCTAATCAAACGTGAAATGCTGACTACCGTTGTTCCGCTCGGGATTTCGCTGGGGGTTTATTACGGGCCGAGACCGGAGGTATCCGGTGCGTTTCCCCCGCCGGTTATCCCGGCCGCCTCGCGTCGAATAACCGCGTAATCTCGTCGCTCAACAAGAAGATTGAATGTTAATCGGCCGAACGGAAATCCCCGGCCGTCCTCATCCGGCTGACAAAATGCCGAGCGCGCGGTGACTTTGAAACACCGGCGTTTGTTTCAACGCCTCCCGAAATCCCGATTTATCGCGCTGTAATAGATCGAGAGACTCCTGATACGCGTGATATATAACGCATATAGACGAGATAATTAGCTTGCGCGTGCGGAAAGTAGAATAACTGAATTTATAATCGCCGTGCGATATATATATATATATATAGAGAGAGAGAGAGAGTACAAATCGTGTATCAAAGCAGTCGGTGTGCATGACTATGTACGAACAGCTTCCCCGGGATTACGGGAGAGCACAGGATTACACGGGGACGCGGGGGGTAGCAGGGAGTTGCAAATTTACCGGTTACGTTTGCCTACGAGAAGACTGAAGTGACGCGTGAGTCGCTGGCGTACCCTCCCTCGTATTGTTACTAACTTAATCCCCCGAAAAATGCACCACGTACAAATTCCCCCCTGTCCTCACCGTCCCCCCGCGAATATCGCCGACGTAATCTCTCCCTTAGTGGGAAATCATCTCGGGAGATCGCTCGTGGCCACGAGGGTACATCTGACAAGAGTCGGCCGAGTATTTTGCGTGTAACGGGGCTGGCGGAAGAAGTTGCCCGCGAAGGTCGGGAGATCGACCCCTCATGGACGGGGAGAGAGAGAGAGAGAGAGAATGGGAAAAGCAGAAGGAGGAAAAAAGAATTCTCGGTAAGTTCTCGAGGAAACAGGAAATTGTTAGTCGCCCGTGGAAAAATGGCGGGGGGGAGGATGATCGATCGGCGGGGAAGATACCGCGCGAAACACTCGTTTAGCCGCCTGAGCCGCGGAGAAACCGTATAACGCGCGAACTTCATTAGGATGCGGGCGTGCCCCGAGGAAATCGAGCTTTTTTTTCGTCAGACTATTCGTCTCTAGTTAAAGGACTTAAGGAAGCGAGACGTTCCGGGCGTCAAGCGTTTCCGGAGCAAAATGTTTCACTCGCGACGATCGATCCGTTCTTTCCGCGTGCGCGGAAAGGGAGAGAGAGAGAGAGATGAAACGCGACGGCACGTGCTCGTGAAGGAATTTTGCACGACTGCGAAGGCGGGCCGGGAGAGAACAAATTTGATGTAATTACCGAAATTATTTCGTTATCCCCTTCGAGCCGCGTGATTGGACCTATAGAATCCTCCGCTTCGTCCAAACCGACCGTTCCGCGATTAAGTTCTTTCTCACGAGATCTGTGACGGTCCCTCGCCGACTCCGAGGAGTCGTGGGGACATCGTGGAGGAGCCGAAAATAAGATGTGTTATCTCTTTTTTTTTAGAAGTGTCCTCTTTCTCCCACGTTTATGACAAAATGTTCTTTGGAGTTAATCCCATGTATATATGTAATAAAATGTCATGACAAAAGTTATAAATGTAATGATGTAATAATGCGTGAAAGTAAATTAAATATATATCTGTGAATATATATTAAGGTGGTTGGTCCGTCGAATTATTTTCTTCCTTTTAGGAAGAGAAGAGATCCTTTTAAATTTCAGATGCATATCGATGAAAATGTTATTTACACTGTAAAATTCGAAATCATTGGCCATTCGGAAGCTGGGATATTTGCGACTAAAATGACACTTCTCATGTGTATTCCTTGAAGTTAACATTCTATTTTTAATCTTCAATTTTTTATTTCTTCTAAACTGCATTCAGAATTTTAATGTGATACTATAGACTAATAGAGACCTTATATAAGAATGTGATACTATGGACTAATAGAGACCTTATATGAGAATTCCGAATTATTGACCATTTTGTTTTGAAATAGAGAAGAAAAATTATATATATAGGAAATTTACAATTTATCATAGTAATATCAGCGATATATATGCGCATATAAACATATTTAAATATTTATATACCACTTTCTATTATGTATGTACTCTATTATTATTTTTATTTTGGCTTCCGCTCTCCAACAGCAATGTTCAGCCTATTCTATGTATCTATGATCGCGATTGTTTGAACTCTTGATTAAACGAAAAAGAAATGCGCGTCTTATTGTCGATTTTTACGATACATCCGAAGACAATCGAAATTACCGGATAACGTTTATCTCGTCACCGCAGGCAAATTCTTCCGCTTCTTGGATAACGGATGAATGAAATTTGTACGTCTCACCGGTAAGACCGATATTAATCGTCAGCGTCGAAACCGCTGAAACGAGATCGTCTGCCGCTGCCTCGCCGATAGCATACGATTATTAATCGTTTCGCCGACCGGGAATGAAATTAGCCGGAGCCGAAAAACACCGCCGATGTTGAAATTACCAGAATACACGACGAACGCGGAAGAAAGAAACGACGATGAGTAATCAAAGCCGACTGCATGAAATTCCGCCGGTATCGAGAACGTCGCTCGTTTATTTTCTTATTCCGACCTTCACTTTTATTCCCCGCCAACCCCCGAACGTCTCGCGAGCCGCCCTTGTCCGTTTTCACGTTCGAACGAAATGAGACATCACTCCGGCGCGCTTCGCATTTCCGGAATACGTCGTTCACAAACGTTCACAAACAATCGGTTAAACACCGGAGCGTGTAAATTCAGCCGCGTTCCCGCAAGTGCAATTCGATCGCCGCCGGCCGGCGCATTCTCCCTGCAATTATCCCGGCCAATCTGCGGGGCTGCCACTGTCCGCGAATGAAAACGAAAATGGAATAGAAACGAGTTGTTTTATTTCGGACCGGCTCTGCTGCCGAGGACAGACCTTGTCGATCCGGCCGCTCGCATGAACGCCGGAGGTTACGGGAGGACTCACCTGGCTCTCTCGCTCGCTCGGTGATCTCCACGTCCACGAGGGGTTGCCCGGTGAATGATCTCCCGGCCTGGCCGAAACGACCGTTATTATTGCAGTTAGCCGAGTACGGAGCATTGTCGAATTCATTAACGTCCAGCCGCGCTCGGCTTCCGTTCCTCGGCTTTATTTAGCGAACGATTAACGGCTCAAGAGCCGAACAGCCGGACGCGTTGCTGGGCGTGAGCGTAAAATACTGCCGCCACTATTAGCGCGATTAACGTTTCCGCCGGTGTCGTGTTTGTGTGTGTGTGTGTGTTCCTGCGTGTGTTTGTCGAGTGTCTGCCCGTAAACACACCCCCGTGTTCGCCCGTGCTGTTCGCCCACGCCTACAATTTCGCGTTATTCGTCATCGTCGCGGTGGAATTTTTACCGATTCTTCATTCGATTCCACCGATTCCGTCGATTTTAATCACGCAAAAGCCGCCCGTCGGGACGTCCACCCCGAGACCATCCCCCCTTTCCTTACTTTTCTTTTTATTCTATTGTAACAACAGCGGCAACATCACAGATCTTTCTATGCTTACGACGAAGGCTACGCTAATGAAATATGTCGCGTGGTAAGGATAAGGTTCGAGGCTTTTCGGTCAGTTTCCACCGGCAGTCATGGTTCCTGCGTGTACAAATTGTACAACAGCAATCTCAACAGCGAGAACGGACAGGGGTAGGCGACCTCGCAATCGGCTCTCGTCCGATACGCCACGTCGTAGCAATCGCACTCGTCCGCGTCCTCGAGATTCCTACAATTCATACGATGCATTTTTCATCTTCTAATTGCGGAGCCAAGCGTCATTAATATCGCAACAGTCAGAGTTCGGGGAATTACTTTTGAAAAGTAACTCGTTACCGTAACTCGTCCATTAAAGAGGTAACAAGTTACCGTTATCGTTACACAAAAGGTAACATGTCGTTACAGCCCTGGTAGAAATGTATGCGATTTCCCGTCCAGTTATTGTCCAATATTAACGCATTCTCATTAGTCGTGACAATACTGCGTAGGAAATGAGCAAGAATTCGATAGTTTTACTCAGAAGTAAGTTTAGGGCGAAACTGAAGAGAATTTCCGTCTCCGTTCAATTTTGATGAGCTCCCTTTTAGAATTTTTGTTCGTGTCTGTTCCATATATAGGGTGTCCCAGAATCGGTGTCTTTAATATGACAGATTCTTTTGGGACAGTCTAATGGTAAAACGAAAATTCAAGTACAAAAATGAAACTGATAAAACTACTGATAAAACATACATTTTTGTACTGGAACTTTCATCTTAGAACGTCCCAGAGAATTTGTCATTTTAAGGACACATATTAGTTTTGGGACGCCCTGTATGTATTATACGTGTGCAAAGTAACGATGAAGATAACAATTGTATTTGTTAGCGTGCAAACAAAGTAACTGCGTTACCGTTACTAATGAAAAGACACAACGTCATTGCCAAGTCACCATTGAAACGAAGTAACTTGCAACGATAGCAGTGTTGCAAGTAACGCTTTACTTTCCAATCCCGACCAACACTACGCACTATCATACCTCAATACAACACGTATGGCGTCTTCGATCAGCGAGAATCCCGGAGGACTCAGCACCGTCTTGACCTCGCATATCGCTCGAAGAATGCACGTTCGTCCTGGCAAGTTTCGGCTGGAACGACCGGCGCTAATTAATGAAATAATCGATCACAGTCACAGCAGCTGAGAGAATCTCTTTTTACCTGTCCAAGGCCGATTCAAAATTCGCATAGAGCTCACGCCGGTGCCGTCGTTTCAGCTTGACCGGCCTCCCAAGCACGGTTCTCCTCAGATCCTCGCGACTCGGTATAGGCCAGATCATATCAAATTCCATATCGAGGTTCCAGTCACTGGGCTCGGTAATCTGGATAGACTTCAGAAGAGTCAGGGTTACCTAAACGGATAATTTTCTATACAGGATGCTGCGTCAACATACAGGCCGATATCGACGGATTGCCTACTCGCTTTACTGACTGTTCTTCAAAGACTGACTTAGCACGGATTTGCCAGTATACACGTTTGCAAAACAGTTCGCACTTTTTCACACTTTTTCTTGGAAACCGTCGTCACCAAATGCAGATCGCTCTGCAAACGAGTATTTCGTGCCGAGTCCGTAAAACGAGCAGGCAACTCGTTGTACTGACCTGCATGTTGATATAACACTTGACATAGTTTGGATACTTTTTCTTGATGCAGTTCTTCCTCGAACGCAACTGATAATTCGATGAGAGAACTTGCCAAGCTGAGAAGTTAAGTTCTCTCATTGGACCGTTAACTGTGTCCCAAACTGCACCGGGAAAAAAGTTCACATACAAACCGTATTGAAGTTAAGTATACACAATTGCGGATATAAAGGTTGATATGATTTTCCTTTGATGTGCTTCGAAATGCTGCCGACGTCCAGTGGAGGAATTTGTTTTCGAGAGATTCTCAGAAAATAGATTTTCTTCTTGGATGTCTCTGGGATGTCGGATATGCTTTGAAACGTATTTCAAAGAAAAAGTGCGTAAAAATATTTATATCCGCGATCGTCCCTTCAGATCGGCATGTATACGTGGTTGAGTTAAGATACGATACCGTGTGCCATAGAGCGCATCCAAGAACGGAAAAGTTTCTGTTTCATTTTTTATATAATGCCTCAGTTATTAAGATATTAATTGGGAAAGATTGGCAACAAGCCCAGGGCACGTCCTTTCAAACGTTCTTCCGCGGAAATGTTATAGTAAAAATTATCAAGGAATTTTGCAACCAAGGAATATGTCAACATTTTGCCGTAATTAATTTTTCCTTTCCATCTCATATGTGTTATTTATCTATTTATTTATATGTTTATGTTTTAATTATGTTGCATCATACGTACAGAGTCAACGAATGAAAAAATATATTACGTTTCTTAGTAAGATAAATTCTACTGGCAATTTATTCCTGCACTAATAGAGATGGTAAATACATGATAAAATTGCAGAGAACTTATATATATATGAAAAAAAACTATATATTATATTCTCTTCGTGTTTATAAGACTTTTTCGCTTGCATTATCTGCACACAATGTGTGTTGTATTTCAACTTTCAGCCGCCCTGTATATTCGCGAAGGGAACAGCAACGAGTTTCTTCATTCTTTCCGACGAAGGATTTTAAGATCGGACTGACCGAAATCGGTAGGGAAGATAAAGAGAAGCATGTCGCGTGCGGTTTCGCATGTCCCAAGAATGAACGTCGATTCGATTACGAGAAACTTTCGTTCTACGCGGGAGCGCGAACTTGTCACGTAAGATAAGAAACCGCTTGCTCGACATCGGTTTAACCGATCTCCTTGGATCTCCCGTCGGAGAGTACCGAATAAAACGATCTCCTCTCCCCCTCTCTCTCTTTCTCTCTCTCTTTCGCGAAATTTCTAGATTGCTATTGTTCTCGGCTGAATGTAGCTCAGAACATGAGTTTCTTTTGATTTTCATTATTGCTTTAATTTCTCCTTGCGATCTTTTACTTTTGTATCCATCACAAATTTTTCAGCGACAAGCAAAGCAGTGCGCTTAATATCAGCTCAATTTACTCTCGTTTTTGTTTACTTTTCACGTTTACTATGCAGTATTCATAGTTGAATCTTATATGTAAAACCGTAAGTACATCTTCAGATGTTTCGTAGTCAACGAAATGAGCCGTATAGCATCTAAAAATGACCTTAAGACGGTTTTAAATATAATATATACATATAATATATACATAAGATCGATGAAATATGAAGTAAAGATATTTTTAACACACACACACACACATACACACACATACACACACACACATATATATATATATATATATATATATCTCATTACTTGTACTTTTTATATAACAGCAACGTAAAGAGAACTTTCACGCTATATAAAACGTGATTTAGAAATCCATGTACTACATGTTATTGTGTTGAATGGATAAATAGTTATATACGCCTGACTCAGGCATCCAAAATATCCGAAAAATCTGTTGCAACATTGCTGTATACTTTAAGGATTCCGACCTCCCAGGGGTGAAATATATTCTGCTTTGCTCCGCTCTCTCTCTCTCTCTCTCTCTCTCTCTCTTTCTCTCGCAGAAGTTTAAGTAACAAAAAGACGAGGCGAGCGACACAACAGCTCGCGAGAACAACAACCGGCCGCGAGTTCTCACGGTCTGACTCACCACGAAGGCGCTCCCCTTCGGAAAAGCAAGTTCCCGTCTGCGTCTGGACGAAGTCTCTCTTGACCTCTGGCCGGTGGTGACGGTGGTGCTGGCACTTAAGTCGCTGTCATTACGGTGACACAACGCCTCCCTGAGGAGCGACAACGGCGGCAGGATCTGCACGAGAAGCAGGACGAGCCACGGGGCTCTCATTTCGCGGAATTACCGGAAGAGATCAGTCCCTTTTCGAGGCGAGCCGCCGCTCTCTCGGCTGCCTCCCGAGAGAGGCTACGGGGCGGGAAACATTTTCCGAAAAGCCGGACGCGCCAGAACGTCGTCCTCTGCGGTTACGTGGAAATATTACACTTACATGGCGCGTACGGCCGAGCTGCGGACGACTCGCCATCGCACGGCGACGAAAGCGCGACGGTGATTGCGACGCGCTCCGCGGCGTTTGCGCCGCGAATTAACGCGTCCGCCTCGACGACACGTCACGATGGACGGGCTAATTGAAAAGTATAATCGTCGCCGGTATTCTCAAGTATCTCGCGGAAGAACGAAGTTACGGAGGCCGAAGACAAATATACTCACGAAAGTCCTTGCCAGAGGAGAAGAATCGGACTCCGGGACACTTCGGCTTTCGATAACGGTTTGAACTGAAGTTTGCAGGCGGACGTTCCTTGCTTTTCGAGTGTACGCCGAGGACAGTTTGTGCAAATACCTTTCAATTGGTAGTTGAATGGTATCTCGAATTTTTTTGGTTAATATGCGTAGATTTGGATAAGCGACATTTTTCAATAAATTCCTCTTCTTTCCGAGTTCTGAAATGATTCGGTTCGGTCTTACAACGCGATATTTTCTCATGTTGACGTGTCGTAAGTATCTTCAGATATTCTCATTCACATCATTCATTTTGTTATATTTTTCATCAAACATTATAACAAATATTTCATGCTTTTAGAAGTACTGTTGTAAACAGTGAGATTTTAAATACACCAATAAGAGAAACTGTTATAGTGATGTTTATTGACTTATTGAGCGTCGTTAAGATGCTCACCAACTACAGTTTAATTAATCTGAAACTACATTCTACGCTTACTCGTCCATTAAACAATAATCAAACGTGTTTGAACAGAATTTAAATAGAACATAAATCTAAATTTAAACGTTTATTAAAAACTCGACTCTTCATGCTCTTCAGCTTGACGTTAATTTAACTCTTTAATAAGAAGATGGATTTTCATCGTATCCAGGAAAGTAGAATCCGATCTCACGCTGTTTTGTTCAATTTTCATGTAATCAATATACAAAATGAGTAAAAGAAGTAAATAATAACATGAAACGTTCCTTAAGAAGAGAAACAGCGCGTGTACAATGCAAAATGAAGCCGTGGATTAAATTTGACTTCACCTTACCATTAGAGATTTAAACATATTTTATAATCACAAAGATGTGGTTTTACAACAAATATCTCTCAATACAAAATTCAGGGGTGATCAGTTTACTGTCCATTATTCAAGCAAGTAACAGAGATATAATACAATAATTCAATGATAATTTCAACGTTTATTTTATTATCTTAAGACACATCTTCTCAAGACACAAAAATTACAATGATTATGCTCGGTTGATTGTGTAGCGCGGAGCGAATATTTCACTTATACACGAGGATTGCTCATAGACGACGCGTTATGAACAAAAGCTAAGGAGGGATCTCAAATTCGGTTTTCATATTCATTAATGTATCGGTCAATCGCTCTTCAGATTATTGCTAAAACTATATCTAAGAAAACTGTGACTTAAAAAAGTACGATATTTTCCATCTTTCCGCGGGTTTTTCATTTTTCCGTGAAGTTAATATGTTAACATATGTTAAGTTAAAACATTAACTTCACGTAACTTCAGCTAAAGTGCAGTCAAAGCACACGGCAATTATTCTCTTTACAGAAAGAAGTAAATGTGGCAGGTTCCATCCGAACACACGCGAATATTTCCGAGGCGAATTTTCCCACCCTCGAAAGAAAAGAAAGGAAACGAAGAAAGTCGCGGAGAAAAAAAAAAACCGATTTTTTCCGAGCCATCAGAAACTGTAGCCGAAACTGCATTAACCCATTAACTGCCAAATTTTTTTTTCGAAACTTTTGGCCGGATAAGCTATATATATGCACAAAAAGTTGTGTAACAGTATAATTATATTCAAATTATATTTTGTTTTGACCTCCAAATGGGGATCGTGGCAGCTAATGGATTAAAAGTAATACCTAACAAAAATTAACGCATCCACCAGCCCCGAGTACACCATTTTATCCCGAGCATCAAAGGCTCTCCCCTCCCTGTGCGAGAAAGAAGGAACAAATGGGGGAAGGAGGAATTTACAAAACGCGTCGAAATCCGCTATTTCTATACCGGCGAAATAAATAGGGTTACTTCCGAAACGTGAGCTATTCGTCGTGTAAACGCGAGTTAAATTTTTCATAATTTCAGTCGCGTATGTGCGCAACTCCGCTCGGCGGAGGAGCGCTCTCGCGGTTGTGATAAAGTATGTATTTCTATCTCTATCTCCGCGCGCGCGCGCGCGCGGACTGCATATACAGCCCGGCATATTTTACAGCGGTAAGATATTCCAGCGGCAACGCGGAATAAATTCCAGTCTTTGTCATGTTTTAACGTTTTCAGCGTGCAGCCCGCCCTAAATTATTTCCCGCCAGCGGTAACAGCCGTGCAACTCTGGACTCTAACGAAGGAAATAATACGCGGGCGAAATAATGCGGGCCGGTCGGTTCTCGAGAGGACACGTCGGTGCCGAAGGAAGAGAGCTATCTTGCCGTCTCTATTTTTCAAGCAAGGAACGCGTGTTTCGCGCTGCGAAACCGCTGATATACCGAGTTTCCGATCTCACGCGCCGCTCCCATAATTCCCGTTATCACGCGAACTATCGGATTGACGGCGATTTTCGTACGTTCCTCTCCCGTCGTATTTGAGTGAGAGGGCTCATTAATTCCTCCGAGTCTCTCCCGTAGGTCATTAAAATCTGACAAGCTGTCCTCCACTGCGGAGTCCTCCGGCTTTTCCATGCTAATCTTGAAAAATCTCACCCGAGAGCTCGCCTGTTCTTCTTTGCGCGAGAGGTTCGTCGGCCCTCCGCGTTTTTACCATCCGCTTCCTCCCGCACATTACACGACAGAGAAAGAGAGAGAGAGAGAGAGAGAGGAGAGGACCTTTAAATAAATTTCGTAAATCTCGCGAAATATATTCAGGAACGACGGAGCTGTTCCGCTTTATCCGATCCCGAAGATTCGAGTGCTCTCTGACCATCTTCGCGGCTGCCATCCACGGGGTAATTTCATTTTGGGCTTTCCGGACCCTTCCCTCCCCACTTAAATCCTTTTTCTCCTCTTCCCAAGCGGCGACACCGCCCTTATCCCGTCGCTCCTAGCCTGGGGAATTCGCTGATTTATTAAACACTTAAAATCGAGCGACCCTCCTCGACTTCCCGCGGCTATTTCGTTAAATTGCCATCACGATTTCGCCGATACTTTATCGTAAATATTCACCAACATTTTCCTTTTCTTTAATAATCCTCCGACCGCATTGCGGGTCAGAATTGAAAGCTGAAAGTTTGCGTGCGAACGTAAGTAAGCATTGTGATTACGAATAGTTTTTTCTTAAATAATGAATAATAGTGCGATTCTGAGTAATTTATTATTTCTCTCAACAATGAGTGTAACGCACGTCTATCTTATTCACACTTACATCGCGCTTACATCTAACGCAAGATCCGCGTATATGAGGAATACATACAGAGCCGAGTGATCGTGTCAATGTTATGTAACATGAGACAACTTCGAGGATCGCCTCTGCGTTATCGACTGCTTATCAAGTTCAACAATGGCGCTACAACTCTTTAAACCTTGATTTTCACGAATGCATGGTCAAACATTAAAATTAAAGTTGCGCCTTATTCTAGAATTTTATCAACCTCTTCCCTTTCGCAGTTTTTCCGATTTTTCAGGAATTTAGAAAATCGCACGGGGGTCAACGTGAACTTTCAGAAGTGTGCGGTTGAAAGGTCAACTTCCTTTTTCTACCTGGGATTCGCGAAGCTCTTGTAATCCCGAGCGACTAGCATCTCCGTCATTTCGCGAGCGTCCCGCACGCGTCCCGCACGCGTCCGTCGAGCGTCCCGCACGCGAAGTCGGCAGACGTGAATTCATTTGTTTACTTTGCAATAATAGATCGCATACGGAGAATAATATGTCGCGAGTCTCCCCCGCAAACACACACGTGTTCGCTTCAGCAGCTCCGAGTAATGCGTCGCATCGCGCTCACAATCGTGTATATATATGTGTGTGTGTGTGTGTGTGTGTATGTATGTATGTATGCGTGTATCTCTCTCTCTCTCTCTCTCTCTCTGTGTATGTGTGTGTGTGTGTGTGTGTTGCGATCGCATTACACCGTGTTTGTACGTACAACGGTAAACCAAGATAATACAATTCCGCGCCGCCGAGAGCGTCGGTGGTCGAGTTTGCATCACGTGTCATTAGTGCGAGTCGCCGTTAATTCACAAATTGCAATCCCTCGCAGCTACGTTCCTTATAGTCGGAGGATGGATGTCGCGGTGCTCGAGGCGAAGTTTCCTCGAGACTCGGCGCGCGTGCGTGTGTGTGTGTGTGTGTGTGTGTGTTCGGCTCTCGGCGAGATCGCCGGGCGCCCTCGGATCGATCGGCCGATCGACGCGGATTTCTCTGGTGAATTAAAATTACCCGAGAGACCTCGGGTGCGGCCGATGTAAAAAAGGAGCGGGCGTTATCCGATACGGGGACAATTGCGCCTCGTCCGTGCGTCGTCTTCCCCACGAGAAGCACCGGACGCTGCAAGTTCCGCCTGTAATTCGAGCGATTCGCCGGTTGCGAGGAAATTCCGGCAACGACGTCGACTGCATAATTCGAATCGCCGGTATCATTGTCGCGGATCTTCTCAGCCGACCGGTTACCGTCGATCGTTTTCAGCCCCCCCCCCCCCCCTCCCCTTCGTGGTGTCGGGGGGCAATTCGCCGCCGGTTCGGGGGNGTCTTCGCGATCCTTAAAGATCTAAGAATCTCGAAATATCGCGGGGTAAGGGAGACACCTTCGTGAACTTTCCGGAATGCCGGTGTCGGAACTTTTCTCACGGCTACTCGGCGATTCAACAATTACGTCACACGATATATTTTTAGCGTTAATTATTTCCCTCCGGAATGCCCGGACTTTATAGAAAGCTTTAGTTTGTGTTGCGAAAAACTTGATGTCGCGCATATTTTTCCTGTAACGGCTGAAAATACAAATATTCGGCATATCTACGAAGCCGTTCGGACAGTTATCTCGCAGCAACTGAAATTTACTATCGCTCTCTTGCTTTTGGAAAAAAATCCAAAGACAATTCTCGACAGGTTAAATACTGTGATTTGTTATTTACTTATATTAGTATTATTTGTTATTAACGTTATAACGTTAAAGTTAGAGTAATGATTTCTAATTTTTGACATTGCATTGAACTATATATTTATCTTAGAACTACTTACAGCGAGGTTGGTATGCGCGATCTCGTGTATTTGCACTGAGTTAATTTAATTTGCGAATTACGTACGTACTCCGACCGCTCATGTGTTTGTGATTTCAATCATATTATCGGCGAAAATTACTATTATCACGTGAAACAGTACATCACGCAGTTGCAGAGAACATCATTCTGATAACTTACACATTATTGTAATTAAAAAGAAAACACATTACAAAAGTTTATTCATTTACCATGGGGAACATTAACACGAAACTTCGAGACGCTCGAAAATTTACTCGGCTGCTCTTAAGCCAAAATTTCCCCTTCTAACAGTAACTCTTTCCGATTTCAATAAATCTCTAGGAAAAGCACTTGTGTCCCAAATGGAATATTTCGCCATTCAGTTTCCACTTCCTTTCGCGATGAATACATAAACAAACTGTTTCACTGCCCCTTTTAGCGAACTCGTATCTTCGTCTCCCGAACTACAAGAATTCCAAACACCGAGATAAAATTCGTTTAATTCCGAAATATATCAATTCAATTTGCGTTTGAATATAACATACGACTTAGTTATCGATATCGCAGTGAAACATCCGTGCAGAGACTCTCGCAGGCTACTCATTAGTATGAAAATCGTCTCAATTCAGAAGAGCTTCAGAAGAGTCGACACACACGCAAACCTCCTTCCTCTCCCCCCTCTCCAAACTCCCCCTTCCTCTCTCTTCGGATCAGCGTGATGTAGCGCTTCGATAACATCTATTATTATTTGCTCCAAACCCTCGAGCTTGATGCTCGCGGAAATCTTACAATTAGTCCGGATCCGATGGTCGTTCGGGTTTACGGTTCAAGCACTTCACTAATCTGATTACGGTTAAAGGGCACAGGATATAGAGAGAGAGAGAGAGAGAGAGAGAGAGAGGATTGGGGTAAGTTCTTCGTGATAGCTGCTCGTTTCGCGACAGCGTAAGATAATCACGCTGATTGCGGCACTTCACAAGACATCCGGACACTTGGCGTGCACGTCCTCGCAATTCTCACCCAAGTGATAAGTTCGTTCGTACTCGGTCATCGGATCGATGTCGTAGTGTCCCCCGGGCGGGCTGCAATCATCATCGTTTCTCTCTCTCACTTCATCTGAACGGCACGGTATCAATTAAGAGAGGAAGGGGAGGAAGGGGTGAGAGAGCGAGCGAGTAAGCTCCGAGTAGGACGAGAGAAATGTCTCCGTGAACCTCTCTCGCGATTTTTCTCACTCACGTGAATATAACGTGGAGGATCTCCTCGAGGAAGCTGCCTTTGCCGACGTCCTCGCGCGGTCGCCCGGCCGCCCGGCAGATCGCCTTCAGGACGCACGCCTTGCCGTCCTTCTCCAGCCTTCGAGACACGAGATGAGATACAGCGGTGGTAAAGGCTCTTGAAAGGGGGGGGGGGGGGGGGGGNCAGTTTAGGGCGGCGAGGATCGTTTATCATTATCATCCTCGTTATCGTTGTCGAGCTCGCCGGGAGAGAGAGTCGACGGTCTATTCATTAAGTTCGCGATAATACGCGGCCTGATATCGCCGAGCACTGTAAACCCGGGGGGTTGCCTCACAATGACCTCTCCGCTCGCCTTCTTCGCGCCTGCCGGCCCCTCCCTACCCCGCGATCCTGCTAAACAACCGTCGTCTCGTTTCCTCGCGCACACCCCCTTAAGTACCCACGAAATACCGCCAATTAGGGGCACGCGAGCGATGCCTCGGCGCGCAATTAGAATTAGAATAACCGCGATCCAGCCGGATTATGCCCCGCACACGACTACGCCCGCTCTTAGGTGAAACTTTATTGGCCCACGCGGTCGGCTTAAAGTTACTCTCGCCGCGGGCTGAAGGTTACCGCCGGTGAAGCTACGGGGATGTAAACAGAGAAGCGACGTCGGGGGTCTGGTTTGATCGGCTGATCTCAGGCGCCGTCTTTTCTCAGCGATTAAACCTTAAATGCATGATTTTGTATTCTTTTCATAAAATAATTTGAATGAACTTAAAACAGGGTTGCTATTTATTGAGATAGGAGGTGAAAAATCATACGATGCAGAACTGAAATGCATCACATCGTGATGCATTGGAGGGTTAAGAGCGTACGATGCACCGGTGAGTTGTAATAATTTTTCGCAAGCGGATTTTGGCACATCGTGACTCAGAATCGGTTTTTTATACGAGTAATAAGCGGTTACAAATCGCGGAGAGAGTATTCTTAGAGTCCCTTACAGCTTCAGATTTCAGGCCTGTTCTTTTTCGCCGAGATGACCGCGCCAGCTTGCACTAGTTGTCTTCTTCTCTCTCTTCGATCGAGTCTCGACCGTGTATCCGTCTCTTTTTAAGTCCTACAAGCGTACACTGGTTCGGCGTAAAAGAACAGACTTGCGACCGGTGTTCTCACAGTCGTCGGGTCTCACATATAAGATCGTCTTAAGTTCACCTTCAGACGTTGCTCATCGCTACGAATTTAAGACAATCTTAAATATGCCTGTCGGAAATTGGGGAAATTGCAGTTTAGAAATCAGAATTCGACGATACGAGCAACTCTAATCTCCACACGCGTCATCCCGATCAAAGTGCCGGCTTACAGTAATCCGATACGATGATCCGATATTTTCACACGAACATCGTCATGAATTTCAAGATAAATTAGAACAAGGTAAGCATTTTTTTCAACTCGCTTCCCGCCATATCTGCTTCGAGAACGATCGTCGTCCATGAGAATGCGTGCCCAACCGGTGCTCCCCGGGACTTGACGATCGCGGGGGTTGAGGGGTGGAAAAGGGTTGATTTATTCGCCCAGCGGAGCGGATTTGCCCGCATACGTACGGTTGGTGTGATCGACGGAAGTAGAGATCAGTGCTCTCTCTCTCTCTCTCTCTCTCTCATCCTTGTGTCTCCCGAAACGTGCCACGTGCTCCTCTCGAATCCCTTTTTTACCAGTATACTTTTTCGCGCGGCACTTTGTCAACGACGAGCCTCGTTTCCATTTCCCGGGGATTACCTCGGGAAGATCCGCGGACGCTCGCGCGCGCGCGCGCGTGGATCTTACTCTCGTGGGGGGAGGGGGAGGGGGGAGGGTGGAATAAAGAATCGCGTCGGCGACGGTGCCGCGTACGTGTCGTCGCCCGAATGATGCCGCGCAATTTTTCCGCGTAACCGAGCGTCAAATAACAACCGCGCGTGTTTCACGATGATGTATCGCGAGATAAAAAAAGAAAAGGGGGGAGGGGAGGGTGAAACCGAGCCGACGCGGTTGCTCGTTATTTCTTCCAATCGGGAGCGTCGCGGGAAGGGGATAGGGCTAACGATCCCGAGGTTTCATCGTCCTGGAACTAACGAAATCGAATCACGACGCGAGAACGACATTAAAAGTACGTGTCGGCGCTGTCGAGCGCGATCGTTGCCGGCTGAATCGCGCCGCGAATACTGACAGCCGCCGGCTGGTCCCGCGGGGGGAGATGACAGTGAATTGTTTCCAGCAAGCAACCGGCGAACCGGCGATGATTGACCCTTTGGAACGTCCCGATCGTCGTCTACACGTTTAACCCTTCGAGCGCTTCTGAAAGTCGCTCGCAAACGGGGTCATCCGGGCATGAGCGATTTTTTAAATTCCACAGCTGGAAAAACAGCGATAGGAAAGTGGTTGACAAATATTCCAGTTCCTATTTTAGAATAAAGTGTAACTCTTTTGCCTTAACGTTTGATGATGTTTTCGTGGAAAATCAAGTTTTATGTTACCGAAGATAAATTCGAATTTAGACCGGTGAAGTTAAAATGGTGGCCATGAATGGTAGTTTTACTTGATGCGTCGTATTTTCTATTATTTTGATTTATAATCGTAGAGCAATGAAGTTGAAAGATAGTTTTAGCAGAAAAGAATATGACTCTCTAATGCGCGTGCGAACTCATTAATTTTTGGATTTCAATTGAGCTTTGGAAAAGATCTACGGTCGAAGAGAATATTATAGCTGATTTCTACTGAAACTCTTTTCAATTCGATTAATTTGTTTTCCAGTGCCGGAATAGACTGTCTTGCTAAGGAAAATTGCAAATTTTTTGATGATCGACTAGTTCTTGAAGTACGAATAACGCATATAAAACTAACTCAAAATAATGTAATTCCATTTTTAAGTGGCGCACAGAAAAAGTGTCGAATTATTAAATTGGCATAAATTTAACACACGGAAACATCAGGAGAGTGATAACACATGAGCTGTATGTTAATTTGACATTGAGACATTAATCGAGAGTCGATAGCGCAGAAATGTTAAACATTTCGACGAAATACATTCCACTGTTTTCTCTCAGTGTAGATTGCAAAATATTGCTCGATAATTTCTGCTCGAAAATCTCCTCCGTGCGGGAATCACAGCGGCAATCGATCAGCGCGCTAACCGGAGTCTTTCGGGGGCGCCCGCGTTGCGCGATTATACGAAACGAGCAGCGAACGCGCGATTTTGAATTTCGCGAGAATCTTCGCGTCTCGTTCGTATTCCTCTTGCGAGAGCCGTGCAGCGGCGCCAGTTTCGAGATCGTATTCGCCGTAACGGTTTCGCTCGAAGTATCACGTCGCGTTACGATCATCTCGAGTCCTCTTAATCGTAATACGCTCGCCGCAAGCGAGCGAGCGCGGCCGTATCCGCGACGACACGCTCGAAATAAATGAGCGAGTGAGTGTGAGAGAGGAGCACCGTGTCGCTCGTCATACTGAAATTATCGTCGTTTCTTCGAGCCATTTTCCGGACTGGAACGACGAGTGCGCGCCGCTTAATCTGCCGTCCGCTCGACGACTGGACGACCGTTTGAGAGCGTTTCCCTGCCGCTCCATCGGCCGTGAAATTCATTCGTCACGCGTGTTTTGCCGGAGTTATTTGGGTTTGCCGGGTAATTGTATTACGGTCACGCCCGCCAGAGGCTTTACGAGAGGCATTTTTCAACGGGTGGCGCCGCCTCTTCGAACAGGAAATGTCAATTACCCTCTCGCCACGTCGCTGCGAGAATTCCCGCCTTCGAACTTCCGGCTTTTCGAGATTTCTTCCGCGTGCCGCCTGCACGCGTGTCGACTGCAATTAAATGTCCGATATCTCGTCCTTATCGCAATGCTAATTACTTATCGACGCGAAACCCCGGAAGCACTTGTAGCGCGGCGTTTCTTTCTCGTATCTGAAAAGTAGTTGACCTTAGACAAGTATTTTGTTATACATGATGATCTTGAAGGACTCTCGAATTTTTGCCTTAATAGTAACGTTGAAATTCGTAAAAATAATAATGAGAGAAGTTCGCGTACATTAGAAAAGCATAAGACTTTCGAAAAATCTAAATACATAATTATAAAGCATATCGGACGCCATAAAATTTTCGTGTAAGATATTTTCATATATATATTTCGCATATGGTTTCAAAAATATTCGGTCGTAATTGAATGTGTGTTATTAACTTCGAGGAAACGTTTCGACATTTACATACGTCAGAAAATATTCATGAAAGATTATTCTGCCTTCTCCATACGACAAACTTATTTTTTCAGATTTTTTCGGGACACGACGCGTCGCAAACGCCGCGCTACAAGTGGAAACAGACGCGTCACGGTCGGACGGGGCTGGCGATATGCGCGTCACTTTCTCGCGTATTTCGGCGTTTCGAACGATATCGGCGAATCGATATTCATGTCTGGGGGAAAACCGGCGGCCTTACACGTCCGTCTTTCGTTCGCGTCTCTTCTACTCACGTTCTCAGCATTAGCTCTATTTTACGATATAGCTCTCTTCTGCTGCGACGATGATAAACCTCGGCCGGCTTCCGGTACGGTAGGATATTTCTATAGGGTAGTTCCCACGCCACACCGGCGGTAATGCCGATGGTGTATGTCCCTGATGGCTTCGCGTATGTGTTCAAGGTCAGGCAGTAGACGAGCTACGTAACCACAATGGACAGATGAAAAAGTTTCGGCTTATTAATCTCCGTCGTGCCAAGGAAAATTATATCCGTGCCTCGGCGGGGGCCGCTCGGAAGCGCCCTTCGAGCCCGAGGGTCAGATATAATTCTTGACGCTACCGTCGCCACTTTCTTTCGTCGATTTCGCATCTCCTCTCCTCATCACGGAGAGGAGAGCCCTTAATTTCCATAAAATGAAGAAATTCGGCGATTATACGTCGCAAATTAAATATAATAAAAATATGAAAATCAAAATGAATAATAGGATAAAGAATCGAGATAAAATAAGTTGATAAGACGATTAAAACGCGCAAAGAGCAAATTTACGCAAAATAGTCTCTTACTTGAACGTTGCTGCCTTGAGGGAACAACAAGTACTTCGTGCCGACTTCTCTCTCGGATCTCGCAATTGAGTCGTTCGGGAATGTCATCATCGGCTCTGCCGATCCGCCGACGCGAGAAACGATCAACAGAACGGAATAGCGGAAATATTTCATCAACATCGCGAAAATTTCCCAAGCTGCCGCGGAGCAAGTTTAAACTTTAACCTCTCACTCGAGAGTGCTTCTGAACGCATGACTGTCGGCGCGATGCGAAGGCCGGCCCCTCTTCGAGAACGAACGCTAACCGCATTCGCATGTGTTTAAGAGCAACGGTATCGCTCCGGTTATTTTAACGTTACGCAAACGAGAGGCGCAATTCGATCGCGATTTTCGCTTGTTCCATTTGCCCCGGAAAAACGCACAACTTCGAGAACATTTCTCGTCCTTCCGAAGGGAAAACGTTGCACGGACGAATCACTTCGATGCGCTTTACCGACGAAAAATAGTCTTAAATCAATAACGGATATTCTCATATATAAGCGAGAATATTATAATCTCCTTGCAAGATTTTTAATCTTGAATCGAATTCAAGTAATATCCGATCATCGATATATCTTCTGAGGAAATTACGATATTCTTGCTCACATATGAGAATATTTATTCTTAATTTAACTTAATGTTGTCGCCATCGAAGCTCAATTTACTAAGCTGTGCCAGCTTAGCTACGGCGGGAAACGTTCGCTGCTAGAAATAAGTAACGTTTGGCCGAAATCATCATGCTATTATTATGTAATTGTGATCTATATTCTGTTAATGAATATACATTGGGTTTCAAAACGGGTTTCTACATTTTTCCGAGCGAGAACTTCGCTTCTGAGAATGAAAAAAGTTCTCTCGTCGGACTGCGTTTCGAACTGCATCGAGCAGAAGTGTTCACACCGTTTACAATAAGGCACGACGAGACCATTTGCGGACCAACCAATAACAATAGCAACAATGACAAACGATTCACGAAACGAACCTTCCGGTCAAGTTCGAGTCGGCTACGGAGATTTAGCTGACAATCATTTTTAGCTGGCAATATTACATTATTCTCTTAAGCGAGTTTGAGACATAAAACAGTAGTGGGCGAAAAATACGAGATAACGAAAACCGACGATCAAACAACAAACTTCTTTTCTCTATTTTATATTCGTCAACGTACAATTATTGCGGTGGATTTGTCGGCTTATAGCAAAACATGTATTTACATCTACGACTATAAGTAAGCATGCACGCAACACGAGACGGAACGAGCGTGCATTCGCATGTTAACGTTGGTATATATGTATATGTGTGTACGTGTGTTTACTCGTATGTTTGTTCTTGTATGCGTGTAGTGAAATATTTGCCAAGCGCTTCGGCGAATGAACATCGATTAGACGTTCGTTACAACGTAGATATGTATTTGCGGCATATTTTATTCCCATTGAAAGAAAGGAGAGATCGAGGAGGGCGAGAGAGCGAGAGAGCGAGAGAGGAGACGAATCGGCCGCGTTCGTTCCGTCGCGGAGCACTCTGCAGAAATGAACCATAAATCGACGGGAGCCGACCGACCGTTTTATTAATGCAAAACGTCGTGGAAATTATTCGAAACCGCGCCAAAATGAATTACGCGTTGCGCAAGTAATGTAATGATCGATATAGAATATTCATAGAGCGCGCGCGAGCCTCGCCGCGGAACTTTCTGAATTCAAGCCCCTGCGCGCCCACCCTCCCACGCCGGAATCGTCGCCGGTGTTAAATAATCGTTTATCGTGCGAGAGCCCGCCGAACGCAATCTAGCTGGAAACGCTACCTTGTTACGAAAAATTCGATACACAAACCAACGAGTGCTTTCCGTGCTCGCTCGCGTCCCCCCGTCGCTTTCTCCCTCGCCCGATCGATGGATCGATCCCGACTCGTGCGATGGAAAATACTGCGTTCACACGAGCGCGACAGAATCAGTCGGCGGGGAGAAGAAACGCCGCAGATTCAGCCGCGCTCTTTCAGCCTCTCGGCTCGGCGAAGTGGTAAAATGGTCCGGGGGAATCGCCGGACACGACCGTCGTTCCCCGGGTCTCGTCGTCGGGCTGATTCCGATATATAATGAAAATATATAATAAAAATTAGACGCGGGGTGAACGAGAACGTTAGGCAACTGCCGGCAGACGCGAAACGCCAGGCGGAAAAATCGGCACGGGCCGGCTGCCAGGAAAACTTCGCTAAGATCTCGCGAGCGGCAAGTTTCCCATCAGATTTGCAACGTGCTCGACGTCACGATCGCACGTATGCATGCCTGCAGTCCGCAGTTTGCAACGTTCTCTCTCTCCCTCTCTCTTTCTTTCTTCGCACGATGCAACGAGGGAAGTCGGGTCGCTTCCGCCGCAGTTTCAAAAGTCCACGTCGTAAATAGAGTAGCGACACGTGGGATACAGCCGTTCGCAGCTTCCGCCCGTCTCGTACGCGCGATCGTAAGCGTGGTCTTCGGATCGGTCGAATCTGCCGCCGTCTCTCGGCAATCTGTGAGCAATTAATATTTTTTCTTCCTTGATTTTACTCGGCTACTGTGAAGGACTCGATGGCGAGAAGGGGGGAAGAGACAGAAAGAAAGTGCTGTTTGTTGCGCGCCTTGGAACAATGTTCCCCGCTCGGAGGAGAAGATTTCTTTGGTTTTAATCAAATTTCTCTGGTTGTGACGAATTGATCTTTTGGAGCGGAACGAACGAACATTTGGTTCAACGAACGGAATTATTTGGCTTCTCAAACAATAAAGTCGTAAGTTGGGTATTTTCACGTCGTATTTCTTTGATATTTTCATCCGAATATTACAATGGCTGCTACAAGTAACGAATTATTTGAAGGAAGTAACGCTATGTTAGAAAAATATTGAAGAACTTCTTTGTTTTAGTAGAACGATATTTAATACGATGTGTAATGAAATACATTTTCGTTATTGAAAACCAAATATTACTTTCTCCAAGTAATACTGTTTCTTCTATCAAACAATATGGTTTACATTGTTAAACAAACCCGAGTCAAACAAACTCGTATATTAAATCCAAAAGAATTTTTTTCTTTGTGTAGAGCGCTTTAACTAAAGCAGAGCTCTCTCAACTTCTACATTTTTCTCTTTTTACTCTCTAAGCTTCTTGAAGTGGATTTTTATTATTTTTGCTTAGAGTGATAGTAAAAATACTGCCACCTTAAAGTTGTAAGAATGAATGTTTCATTCAAGCTTCTGAATCCACATGAGCGAATGTTTCGATCGATTAGAGTGAATATATTCCTGTCATAGTGAAGCACATCGAATTCACACCTCAATTTCGAATTAAAAGATTCACCCGATGATTCAGAGTGGAATAGCCATCGAATGACTTGGTGATTGCATACTTTACATTTCGAAAGAAATTCCATTCTAAAAAATGTAGAGAGTACAATTTCGCATACTTTTTTACTTTCACTGAATAGAGCCGGAAATGTGAACTGAAACATGAGAATCACCTGTATGATCTTTCAAGAATTATTTTAAAAAATCGATCACAATTCGTTTCAAACACAAGATCGATCATGTTTTATATCTATATTTTATCCTGGCTGTTATAGACTTTATTTATTAATCATGTATCTAAGATCGTCTCTCTGTCATTCACCTAAGGAAAGAAAAGCGTGGCTAAAAAACATTTCTACAATTTTGAGGAAGCGATATTCAAGGAGGCCCAGACTGAGGGTTGTTGAAAGAGGTGTTCGTACAGTTTATCTTCAAAATTTTTTCTAGTGAGAAAGAGAGAGAGAGAGAGAGCTATCGCGGAAATTTTTTTATTTTTACGGAGCGAAAGAGATATCGCTCATAATGGGATTGCACACGTTCATTTACGCGCGCGCGCGCGCGCGTACACACACACTTACGTGAAAATTGCGTGGAGGAGTTCCTGGACAAAGGTGCCTGTGCCTACTCGGGAGGGATCTCGTTGGCCCGCCTCGCAGAGTGCCCTCATCACGCAGGATCTACCGTCGAGGCCGGTGCTGCCGATAAAGTTTAATTTAAAAGCGTCCTCCTCCTCTCCTCCCCTCTCCCTCTCGTACCCTCTCGACGAATAAAGTTTGACGACAGCTCGGCTTACGGGCGAGCGAGTGTCTCCCGCGGAAACAATTACGCTCGGAATGACGATCCCGTCTCGCAATCGCAGTTAAAAGTAAATCTCGTCCTCACGACGACGCGTGCACGCCGAGAACGTGCGTAAGAACGAAGATTTTACGCTCGTTACGGGCGAGACGCGCCTATTTAAGAGCCTCGCTGCCCTTCGTCTGCCTTCTTTCTCGCGCGTCTCGAGCTGTTTGCGCGATATTCGTCGAGACGCTCGATCCGACGAGACGCGGAGAAGCGTGAGAGGCAAGAGAAATAGAGAGAGAGAGAGAGAGAGAGAGATCAGAAAAGCCGGTCGAAAATACGGAATAACGACACTTACGACTGCAAGAAAGCCTCCATTTTCGGATATACGACGGCCCGGCTTCTACGGTGAAGCAAATTCGATATCTTTGAGTCGACCTGATTCGGAAGTTCCCAGGCTAAGGCAGCTGTCAGTCCCAGGACCAAATCACCGTCTCGGCCGTACGCCCCAATAGTCAGACAATACACTAACTGGAAAATACACGGAACATCCGCGCGCGAGATTCAATTCCCCACGTAAATTTCGCAGGCTGCTGGCGGCCCGGCCGTGGAAACGGGAGGGAGGGAGAGAAAGGGAGCAGGCACTTTGCCTTTCTACTTTATTCGTGTACCGAAATCTTCGGGGCAACAAAAATCCGTTCGCCAGCTCACGAGTCGCAGCGGGCGTCCGCGAAACGCCCGACCGAATTCGACGCGACCGCTTCGTTCCCGCGCGGGAATCGTCTTCCGCCGACGATCGCGTGCGACATCACGGCTCACGGTAATTCGTTCGCGCCTTATTGCGAAAACAAATCGAGGTATCAGAAGGAGAGAGGGAGAGAGAGAGAGAGAGGCAGAGAAAGAAAGAAAGATGTCTCCGTTTTAACACGTTGACTGCCGTAGTGACGTTGGGAAACTTTGCGCGTTCCCCACGTTATTTTAAGGTTTTAGCGCTATTCTTCAATTAATGGGTATTTTATTGATAGAATCGTTCGAAATAATTAGACAGATGATTTTGCAACAATATTAGATGAAGTTCGGAAACGTCATAATATATATAATCATTTTTTATTTTGAAAGTTATCGTTTATTTAAAACAGGACGAAATAAAAGTTGTAAAACCCTCTCATTTGATGTAAATACCAATAAGGAAAGAAATATAGTTACGAAATGCACTGTCTAATAAATTCAATCAAACATCTTTTTCCGTGTGCTAAAGAGTCTATTCCCGTTAACAAAGAATAAAGAGTAAAGAATAAAAAATGTAATTCGAAGATGCATAAATATGCGCTATGTATTGAAATGAATAATAGATACGGAAGTGAATATAAAAATGGCATTATACAAGGTTATTTCAGATCTAGCGTTAACTTTCCACATATACTACCATGTTTTCTCTCACATATTATCGATTTCACAAATATTCTCATCGAGAGAAATCTAAATTTCTCCGCGATCTGACGACAAATTTATTTGATACTTCACTAAAATATGCTCAAATGTTTATCGTTATGACAGTTCGTTAAACTTCTATCTTACACACAAGTATGTCAAATTAGCAGAAATTTGTTGTATTATAAGGTTTCTATACAAAATACACTATACAAGAGTTTATAATTAAATATCTCGGAAACGATACGATCAAGATTATTGAGATTTCCGTTCCGCATTGTCAATTTGATTAACTTTTGCATCCCGTACACATTATAGATTTTTCCCTTGTTCGGAGCTCCTTGAAATCAACGTGTTACTTTTCCAACCGGTCATATTTCTCGCTCAGAGAAGGAGACTCACGCGAGTCAACTCGTTCGTATCGACAGTCAACGCATCAAGCATCTGAGTCGAAATTTTGATCCTACATTAAGTCTACTTAGTTCTACATTAAGTAGCATTAAGTCCTCAGGTGAAGAAAACAAAAATAATTCCCCACTTGTAGCATCAAAGAAGCGCCAACAGTCTGCGCGGTCCGATTCACGCTTACAGCACTGCAAGCGTCATTCCACCTCCATTTGTTCATTACACGCCAGAGGAAGGTAGAACGAAGTTTACAGCGGGTTGTAAGCGTGAATCGAACCGCAGCCATAGTGTTCCTTTAATGCTACAAAGGGAACTCAGACCTCCCAAAAAGAAGGAGATTTCAAATTCTACGTTAAATCTTCAAGAGGAGAAAACGACGTCCCATTTATAGCGTCCAAGGAAGCGCGGTAGAAAACTTTTGAAGACTCAACGTAGACCTAAGTGGGCCTAATGTAGAACGAAAGTTTCGAGCCGGGCAGTATTTAAGTAAATGGTTTTACCTGAAAATTACTACCCTGCGGAAAAATCAAGTACCTCTTAGGTCGCGACAAGATTCTGGGCACGACTTGGTCGACCTTGGTCGCGTTCTCTTGGAGGAGTACCGAGCCGGTGCAGAGGATCAGCCAGTTGAGACAGCCGACGAGGAAGGAGAGCTGTCGATAGACCGACATAGTTCAGACGAGATGCCGCATGCTCGCTCCGTCATCGAACGCTCAACGGCTCGTGGCGACGACGTAGTCGTCGCGCTACTAACGTAAGCGGCGCGCGAGCTTTCGGCGGGTGGTTTTCGCTAACGGTAACAACCGACGTAATACACCTGGCCGCGACCTGGCGTGTTCTTCCGCGATTTAACGGCCCGCCCGATGATGATTCGCTCGCCAAACACTACGAGAGGGCCAGTTCGCGCGCGCCTTATTTACTCCCGCGTTGTTTAAACACGTCTACGCGGAGAGACGCTATCATTCCCGTTATTACACGGCCCGCTTGTCACCCGACCGCGTGTTTTTTTCTCCTCCCGTGGCCTGCACCTTAACCACTGATTACGCGAGCGTAAACGCGATGCTAGGAAACCGGCGGTGGAAACGCGCGCGAAAGGAAGATGTTCGCCGAAGAAAAGAGAGGTAGATCGATAGATAGACAGGTCATTTTATTCAGCACTCTAGAAGCACTCCCCGGCGAAAGTAAAGGCAATAATAATAACAAGAGGAAAGTAAAGTAATGAATAATATAGTAATAATATAAGTAATAATAATAAATAATACAGCAGTAAGTGTATGTGAGTAAAATTTTCAACGCACCCCGATGCAAATCTGTTTTTGGTCAATAATGTTTTCAGCAGTGCTGACCGAATATTCTACAGGTGATATATGTTACGTAACGTAATAATTGGTAAACTATTCCAAAGGGGAAGAGAGAGAGAGAGAGAGATCCACCGCGAATCGCAACTCGTGATTGCAAATCGGGCTCGCCCGCCGCGCGGTCGATGGTCGTTCGAATATTTCACGCGTTTCTTCCCCGCGAAAAGGAGGAGGAAGCGGAAGGAGAAGGTTTCGCCCCCGGTGGTAAAACGCGGCGCGGCCGCGTAAGTCCCCGCGGGGTTACAACTCCGTGAATTGTACTCGCAATTAAGAGAGCGGACGGAAAGTCAATAATTAGCTCCTCAAGTTCCCGGGGAGATTCCTTAAATACTTTGTTAATTAGCGGCCGGAATATTTAATCCGCCGGTATAGAGGAGCGATGCACGTCGGGCTACCCGTAAGAGGGAGGAAAAACGACGAAGGGGAAGACAAGGAGCGGAGGAAGAGAGGAGGGGAGAAAACCCTGTCGGGGCTGCCGGCTGGATTATCATACGCGTGATACCGGGATAAAAAATTATCCGAGCGCGTCCACATGTACGGTTAAGCTGCTTATTTTATAGAAGCGTTTCATTAACGAAATGTACGAGCGGGTAGCCCCGCTCGCGATAATTACGCGAGACATTAGAATAATAAGCGGGGCTGAACGGCGCACGAACGGCGGAGGAATCGTCATTTAATTTCGCCTGGGATTTTCCAGTACATTTCACCCTCCCCGCCCTTTCAACCCTTTATTATCTCCGGCCAACCGTCGCTATCAGGCGACCTCTCCTCGCACACATTCACTTCGATCGAATCTTTTTGCGCGCCCAAGCTTGACGCCTCGCCCGGCCGCTCGCTCGCGTAATATTATCCGGCCGCGCGGATCAAGCCTGACAAAAGCCGAGCTAACGTACTTCTTTCCCTCCGGTCGACTCTTACACCCTCGTCGGGGGGGGGGACGAGGGGCTGAGGGGCCGTATAACGGCGGTTACGAGCGTCCGTTAATTGCATATGGGAGTTGCGCGCGTGGTTGGTTTTCTGACAAGAAAACCACCGAGCATTCTAAATTAATGCCTTTCGTTAACGCACGGCCGGGACCGCCGGATGCAATTATAACCGCTCTGTTCTGGAATGCGACAGTCCGGCCGAGAGGGTGACGGCTGTCCGTTGGGATAACGTGTAGGAACGAGGGCGCGCTTTAAGTCGCGGCCACCGTTGCAGCCCGGCGCACTTTCGACCCCGAGGTGCACCGAGAGACACGCATTACGTCGGTTAGCCATTGTTGTCCTGCGATTAACGCGCGTTCACTGACGGTGTGTTCTATTAATCCGATTGTTATCACGTCGATGTACGATGTTTCCAGCTGTGTTCTTTTAAGAGTGCACGATATCACATTTTATCATCTTTCCCAAATTCCCCGCAAAGAAAACGCAACTCTTAATCCCAGTCATATCTCCAGCACCGACTGACCGGCATTACCCAAATTACATGTTTCCACAAATAGATTAACCACGTTGCAAGGATCCATCGGTTCATGAAACTAATACTTCTATTGTACACTAGAAGATTTGATTGGCATAGCAAAATAACTTCTACAGTGGATGGAAACGCGCGGAATGCAATTCGTACCGACCACAGTCGCGATATAGAGGTGATCGATGGATAAACGTTCGAGATTGCTGTTCGCGCATAAAACATCTCCAACGTCGTGTTTATTACAGCACAATAGCGCGCTGTGAAATTCGTTGTCCCGTATTTTCGACCGGCGCAACTTTCGCCAGCGCGCTGCAGCTTTGATGTCCCGGCTCGAATGCATACCCGAATCATGAGCGGGAGACTCCGGGCGATTACGTTGAGCGGATTCATTTACGTGCTAATAGAGCGATCTCTATTGTAACGACGTGTTCGTTTTTAACGAGGCCCGCCGCCGGGACGACGCGCGGCGGCTGAAGCGCGCGTCCACAAAGAGGAACTCCTCCTCACGCTTCCCGTGACTCGGGAAGAGTTGTTAAAAATTTATATATTAGATCTCGTAAAACAATCTCGTTGTACGTTATTAAAATTTATATTAGCACGCCAGTCAAAATGACTTGTGATGTATAAAGAGCTCGGTTAAGTCAACCTGATATGTTTTGGCTGGAACGCGTTTCGTGCGGAACGAAATATCGTAGAATTTTTGAAAATTCACGGTGTTATTATTGAGTATTTTAATACCCGAACCAGAACATTTAGGCACGATATTTGATGCGTTTTGAGAAGACGCACCACTGAGAAAGAGAGAAAGAGAGAGAGTAGGTAATGAAAGCGCATCCTCGAAACGATGTTTCTTTCGTCGTTACGCTTCGTCGTAACGCGCGGCCGCGGACTCGTCGCATCATTTAGACACCGCGACTTCGGATCATTAACGTAATTATAAGCCGGCGACGGCGGGACCGTGTAGTTTCGGCCACCGAATATAATATGCATTTGCGTTGGCGAATTGCGCCGGCAAAGTGGGATACTTTTTAATTGTCAGATAGTCGCGTGATAGTCGCAAATGAATGCTTTTCGTTGGCGCTGGAGCACCGGTGGCCGCGCGAGTAGTAATTATAATCGTCCTGTCGCGCGATGTGACAAGCGGAGACGAAGGACGCGAGAGAGGAAGAGGGAAAGAAAAAGAGAGAGAGAGAGAGAGAGAGATAGAGAAGGAGGGAGAAAAAGAGGGACAAGAATAATGCACGAAAACGACAAATATTTTTTTCCACGGTGACCATTACGAAGACAAATTAATGGTGCGCTGAGGGCCGGAACGCGTATATAACGCCCTGGTAGAAATATCCTCTCGCCCTTTTTTTGCAATGCGTACTTCGCCCTTCCAGCCGGCCCTCCCGTCCGGTCTTCAGCGAGACGTATATTTTTACTACATTCAGTCGGCGGGCTGACGCGCCGTCATATTTTACCACTCCGCTAAACCGGAATCCCCCGGAATAATTCGAACGCAGTTTTGCGGAATGACAAATGTTTCATTAACCGCCGTCATTTCTCACCGCGTCGTCTGACGATATCGCCGGCGATGGGAACGCGATCGAACGGGGCGGGAACGAGATGGGTCTCGGAACGTTTTGCGCAATCTGTTTCAACGTGAAACGAATACATAAACACACCAGGAGGAATCCCATCGGAATTATGGTCATTTTCCGCCTCAACCATGTGCGTCTCCCGACGAGGGATGCATGTGACACTGTGTGACACAGTTACGGAGCAGAATCGAACATTTGTGCCAGTCATCATAGCTGCCGACTTTTTAGATACTTTTATATAATTTTATTATTCGTAGCATTAAATGTACCGAACAATTGTTTCCTCTTTTTCTGATATTTCGTTACGATATTCTCTCTTTGCGGTACTTTGTGGCCGGCTGGCCGAACAGCAAATATTTTTGAGTGACAACAGAAGATATAATTGATTATTATCTGTTTTGTTTGAGGTAGATTTGAATGATTAATGACGTTTAAAGTTCTATATGTGATTATAGCAATTCATAGCGTAAAATAATTAAATAATATTTTATAATTTATCACCTATTCTTTTATGTCGTTATTATTTTACATTTATTCTATATTTATATTCAACTCATATGCCACCAATTATGTATATTGTATCGTCAGTTACTTATTAAATATCATTACTGAATAATATATATGTATTTATGCGAGACAGTAAAAAAAGCCGCATCTTTTAGTCGCTCTCGATATGGTGTCTTTAATACCTTCAGACTCGATAATTTTTAGCGTCCAATAAAGAAATATTATTATTATCATTATTATTATTATAGTTACAGATACGAGAAATTTTTTCTCAGCGCACGTGTTGACCTAGCCGTAACTCACAGCGACGATTTATGCACGATAAATACAAGCGGTCATACGGCGTCCTCTGCAAAACTATTTAGCCCGATCAGTTGCAAAGGGCAGTCCTCGACGTGACGTTCGCAGAGCAGCGGATCCTCGTGCCAAGTGCCGTTATTAATATACGACCTGCAAGCAACGGGCAATTAACGATACTGCGCCGTGTACGATTGATACTGTTAACGCTAACCGGCACCAACCCCGTGAGTAGCTTCAGTATCTTCCTTATAACGCCGTCCTGTCCCTCCGTGTATTGCGATACCTGACAGATGCTCTTCAGTAAGCAGGAGCGACCGTTGAAGCCGTGACTGAAACATTATGCCCACTCGATCGATTTGTCAAACATCTACGAAGCACGTGTTATCAAGGTGAAACGGGAAGTACTAATCACGGGAGTCTTGGAATGCGCAAATACCTTAGAATCTGAAACCCTTCGTGAGCTGAAATTTCGTTCTTTAATCGATCATTCTCAATCCTTTTCAACAGATCGGAAAAAAATGCTGCATTCAAATAAATAATTACTCCAGTAGTTCCGAGCGAAATTTTCACTTAGCTTAGATAAATTTTACTTGGTTTAAGTAAATATTACTTAAATGTAATCAAAAAGTGTTAAATTCAAATAACGTTTACTTAATCCAAGTAAAAATTGTTCCAGAACTATCGGAGCAATGATTTACTTGAATAGTTTTTTCAGTGCCCTTTAGAATATATATATATAATATTTTTATACACATATAAAGATATCTTATATTTAACAACTGTAATAATAAAAGTAATAACAATATGCAATTAATAATAATATTAATTATCCATTCTTAACCTTTTAAGCCGGCGTATCCTTCAGTACGTATAAATATTCTTATATGCATACGAAAATATCTATTTCTACACTTTATATATAAATATTCTATATTTAATAACTCTAAAAATACAAATATTTTTTAATCGATCTCTTTCATTCCATTCGATTGATCTGTCGCCGAATGGGGGCGTTTTGAAAACTATCTCATAGTTTACTCATCTCGAAGCGAAAACTGAACTTTTATCTTTTTCTAATTTTCCATAACAAATTTTTTCTTGCCGAGGCCACCTTTGAAAACTTTTGGAATGCCACTTACACCCATCTGACGTCCCTCTATTATAAAATAACTCCAAATTAATCATTCATCCGTTAATCATTTTATTCCTCAATCATCAAGGCACCAATAAAATCGATCATTTCTAGATCCGGAAATCTCCCGGATAAAAAGACCGAAGACACGGACGTTGATTCCCGTTTCTCCGCGATTGCGTGTCCTCAGATGTTTGCGCGAGGCGTGCCGATCGATTTCCAAGAGGATGTTTCGGCATGTCAAGTTGTTAGAAGGACACCGACGCGTAAGTCAATTCCTTCGATTGCGCCTGAAAAGCTGCGAGCAAAGACCACCGCGGAAGTCAACGTGCACCGGCGCCGTTGCTCCACTGGCTACTATCCGATTTCGCTGCCGGCGGCGGAAGTCTTCGGTTAGCCAGCCAGAAATCCACCCGAGCTACCCCACGTTTTAGCCAGCCGAGCGACTCCGCCGCCACCCTCCGTCCCACCCGACCACTCCTCCTCCCTCGCACCTCGTCCTCTAACGCGACACACCTCGACATTTTACCAACACCTTTCCCGTTCCCCCGCGATTTCCAGTCCGCGAGCCTGCATTATGCAGGGACTATTGCAGTATTTATTACCTTTCATATACGAGCTCGGCGTGCTCGCGGATGTCGGAGACAGACCGGACGATCCGTAGCCCGCCGGTCGGCAATTCCCATGCCGCCTTGAAGCCCGCCGCTTGCGCGAAGATGCGGGTGTAAGGGAACGAGTTTATCTTGTAGTTCAGCCGATACTGGAAGAAGATCGTTCATCCGTCGTGATAAACCGTAACGGGGAATCGGGTCGCGCGCTTGCTGAACTCCGCAAACGATGCGACAAATTCCGTAGGGAAAGAGAGAGATACGTTTATTCCAGCTCGAAGACTTCAGCCCTCTGAGAGAATATAAGTGGAAGTGTACATAGTAACGCGAGTAGTGGTTCTGAAACATCTACAGGGTGTCCGGGAAGTTTCGACGCCGAGCGGCCGTGTGCAGGTGGAAACGGGTTAAACCGAGCGGAGAAGTTCTATCATTTTGCAAACAACCACGCGAAATTGTCAAAGGTGACAGTCGGTGACAGAAATTGAGTCGAGAGAGAATGACAGGGTAGAATCAAAATCGCATAGCCGGTCGCAAAAAGGTCGCAACACTTTTTTACAAGTTTCAGAACGCGTCTCGTTCCCCGATAGGGGAATTTGGCTTCTACTCATTCTTAGGAGATACAATTTCTTATCGGATACGAGACGGGTTGCGAAATTCATCGAGACAAAAATATCGCAATCTTTTTGTGACTGAGACAATAAGTATACATTACGTCGACTGTCACTTTTTTTTTCTCGACTTCCTGTACGTTTAGGGGTAGCGCGAGGAGGTTCCGATGTTTGATCGCTCTCGCTCCTGCAGTTGAAAACTCGAGCGCCAGTGGCTGTTCCATGTAGAGATGGCGAGAAGAGAGAGAGAGAGCAAATCTTCAGCGGGCGAGTTCCTCGAAATATCCGAAATCATAACTCCGTATCGGGAGGAGAGGGGAGAGGGGGGTGATCGGCTCGGCGAATATATATGTACGAAATCGCCGTAATCTCCGTAGGAAAACTTTCCCGAATCTCCAATCAGCCGTTCGATCCCTCGCGCGACGGAGGGACGGGGAATCGCTCCGGGACGATTCTCCCGGTTTTATCCGAATTACCGGCGGTGAATTATTCGCCGCCATCCCGCGCAAAAATATTCCCGCTCGCACATTCTAACGTTACCGCGGCTGTTCCGCCGCGCCGCGCGGAGAAAAAAGAAGGAGCGCGCACGGCCATATTATTTTTCTCCCCCGCGTTCACAAGGATCTCTCTCCCCTTCTCTCTCTCTCTCTCTCTCGCTCTCTTGCTCGCTCCTCGTGATTTTATCTTTATGTTCGCTCATAAATAACGAGACACTTATCGTAAAATTCTCCGCGCCGCGATTCTTACGAGAGTTATTCTCTCATTATCCGCGCCCAAGCAATACAGCGAGAACCTTCCGCACCACTTATCGATCCTCCATAAATAAAGTTCTCCGGCATCAATTTGTATGCATTCCCAGGGAGGACGCGTTACCCGGGGGAAAAATCTTCGAGAGGTCGCCGGAGATTTCGCAAGTTCCAATGGCGCGACGCGCCACGCCGCGTCTCACACGCTTCCGTTTCCCTCGCGTTCCACCGCGTTCTAACGATCGAGACGCCGCTCAGAATTAAACATTCACGAGGATCACACGAAGTTCACGGGGCAAAGATTTCGCCGAGGTCCGAGTTCCAATGGGGCAATTATTTGCGACGATGAGAAAAGAGAGATTGTTAATGCACAGGTATCCCAGGCGGAAACTTCGTTTTTCGTTTAAGCCGAATGCCGAGTTTGGTAACGCAAGTTTGGCGCATTCGCGGCTGTCGAACACGATCATTACCCGGCAATAAAAAGTCCGTTCGAATACCTTGCGTTCGGCCTTTAATTGGCCAGGTGTGTTCTACGACTCGACGCGCCTGAGAGCCGTTAAGATGGAAGAATTATCGCCGAAATATGGAATTTATCCGCTGCGAATATCGACTGCGCACTTGGCCGAAAGTCCCCGAAGAATTCACGACTGAAAGTTCCCTAGGGTGTAAGGACACCTGACGATCGACATCCCTCCCCCGTCCTCCTTCTTTTTTTCTCTCTCTCTCTCTTTCTCCACCTGGTGAGTCCACTTGCACGGCTTACGACGGTTGAATCGCTCGATTTCCGGCGTTTTCTTGCCGCGGCGAGGATAGAGTGGCGAGGCAGGTGGTGCGCACAGTTCCCGCTGGTACCTATTAAACTGCGGATCGCCCTGGGTATCGCCCCCTCCTCCCCCCCCCCCGTTCCCGTCTTCCGAGTCCCGTGTAAATGCGACAGAGGGTGGCGTCTGGCCTGGATCTGGCAAGCCGTTTGTCAGAGACGCGCTGCAGCGCCCACCTTACCTCCTTACAGCCACCTCTGTTTCTTAGTGGCTGAAAATACGTTAAGGCGATCGGATTTATGCGCGGCTCGAAGGCATCTTCCTCCCCTTCCTCGTGCTCCTCTTCGTCGCCGTCGCCCGCTCGCCCCCAAGTTGCCGCGACGAAATACATACACGCGAGTGTGCATCGCGCCGCCGTATGCTGCATAATTTTCCGCCGGTGCTCCCTGCAGCTTCGAAAACGCGTCCTCGAACTCGCGCGGCAGGCAGAGCGAAGATGAAGTGCTCGGCAAGCGCGCGCCCCTCCTTCGCGTGACGTCGAGAGGGTCGTCTTTTCGAATTAATTAAATAAATAAATATATATATATATATATATATATATATGTATACAGGGTGTCTGACAGGTATTAACATGTACGCATAAGTAAGCCATATCGAGTTGAACGGGAAAATCTACTGTCATTCTGAAAATGTATTATTCGAGAGCTGGTAGAGAAATGTATTATTTAAGGCTGGGCCTGGAATGTGTAGTCGAGCGGAACGCAACACTTGCCGTTGCCAGAAGACCGTGCAATCAACAATGGAGTCCTGGATGTAAATAGAGAAGCGTTCAGCGGGGAAAACAGTTTTGCGAAATTACTTTGAAAAAAGAATCCTCACTTAGGTTAATTATTGAGGTCAGCCTCTCGCAACCTTTCTTTCTTACGCATCTTCCTTCTCTCGCTTCTTTACTCACCTACGGTGAACAACAGCATAGAGAGAAAAGAAACGACCAACTTTCGACATATCGAGTTCGATGTCTTCTCTATTCGCATCTAGGATTCTACTCAGACTCTTGCCGTCTTGGATAAGCTGCCACTTCCTGCACACTCATTCGCTGGTATTGTTTAATTAATTCCTTAGTAACTATTGCGAACTTTGCAAAATGGCGGAGGACTTTTCTGTTCAGTTTGATACGTTCTATCAGCACACCACCATTTAGGTCATTAATTGTTAGGCACCCTATATATATATATATATGTATATGTACACGTACATATATATATACGCAGCTTGCAACTATGAGAAGATAAATACCGTACGTTTCCATGCGCGACGCTGTGTGCAGATACAACGAGACAACGTTGATTCATGAATATTGATCCTAAATTCCCCTCCCCTCCCGCAGGTCGGATAATGCACAGGGTAAACGCGGCGCGTATCATCGATATTGCGGTGCACTTCGTCGTAAGTGCACTGGATCATCACGAGTTGCATAATTCTTCCGCGGTACGGGTTAGTCGAAAATGGAGTGCGCGGTCTCACGGACACCTGCTACTTTCACGGGAGGGCACCAGGACTGCTGCGAGGACTCTGCGTATTCTTTTTCGCTCGCGCTGATGTTACCCGCTCGCAAGAATCGGTGCAATCGCGTACACCGGGTCGTACACGCTGCGGCCCGAATATGCAAAGTATCGCTCAATATTTAGACGATCGGACGCGGAGAACGGTGGAAATTTCGATTGTAAATTCCGGATTTGAGATTTCGATCGTCGGTTCGCGAGATTTCGATTTCAGCGTTCCGGGATTCGAGAGGACCTCCTTGTTCTTCTTATTCTTTTTCTTTCCAGGTTATCGTCGCGATATTCCGATATTGCTGTACTCCGTGTCTCTTCTCCCCTCCCTCCCTCCCCCCTCCTTCTCCTTACTCCTTTTTCATTCTACTAATCCTGCTTATTACTTAATTTTACTTTGTCTTTGTTGTTAATTTTTTTTTGTTTTTCATTACATTCACTGCGAAGCATCGATACAAACTTAATTGACAACATTCGAATCTGATTGCACAAAATTTGTATTAATTCTCTCCCTCTTCCTCTTTCACCTCTCTTTCTCTCTCTCCTTCACTTCTCTCTCTCTCTATCTCTTTCTCTTCCTCTCTGTCTCTCCCTCTTTCTTTTTCTCTACTTCTCACTTCTTCTCCCCTCCCCTCTCTCTTTCTCTCCCTCTCTCTCTCTCTCTCTTTCTTTACCCACTTCTTTCTCTCTTAACGAAATTGTTTTCTGTGCGCTCGGGGCGACCGAATGTCTTTCGTAATAAATTCTCATCGGGCCGGCTCGCGCCTCCTCGTTCGCGCGATGCTCCGCGCCGGAAGACGGACGGAGCGTTTAGCTTCATACGGTATTAATGCGGCGCGCTACACCGTGTTTCAAAATACCGCTCCAGCATCCGCGGCTTCGTGCCTTTTAAACCGAAAATACGGGCAGCTCCGATCGGTTTACATTAGAGCCGGTCTCGTGTACATATGGCGCATAAATTCTCCTCTCGCACCGCAGCGGCACGCCAGACGCTGCATAAACAGCGCCGCTATGCACCGCCATGGATACGGGATGTTATCCAACATTGATTCTTGCGGCTTTTTACGGCCTGTTTCAACGAGAAATCCATTTACCTGACATCGACGCGTCCGCGTGCTCCGATCCTGCCGAAATCGCGAGTACTGTTTTTTACTTCTCTTCCCCCCCCCCCCCCCCCCCCC